ACAATAATGTGCATGAATTGCGGTATCAGGATATATGAATTATTAGTTATCAAGGAGAGAAGGAAGAAAGGCGGATACGTAAAATCGGGAAGATGGCATCGACAGCGGTTAAGTATCCGGTCATTGAAGTTTAGGGCTCACTGGCAAGCCCACGCGACGAGGCTGTGGGCTATATATTGGTAACTGAGCTGGGTGGGTAATGGGAACAGGATGCGCGGTAATATCTACGGCATTCCTGCGGCCCTGAGACGTGGTAGATGGCTGGCCCTGAGAGCTGACTGAGCTTGCTAGATTGGGTTCCGAGCAACGAGGTGGGCGAATAGGTGTTTCTAGTAATTCGTCGGGTACCATGAGGGCTCGATAAACCTCTACGGGTTGATAATAGGAATTTGGCTGCTGAGCTTGATAAGGATGATAAGTGAACGGGCTTGATCTGGTTGGAGTTTGCGGATCGGTGAGTTTCATCTGAGTACTCGCTGCCCGAATGTCTTCCCTGTATAAAGGGTGACACGGAAGATTGTGGTGTGTCGACGGTAACGTCCCATTATCCTCGGCCTTACGACTGGCCTTTTCGCGTGAGAGTAGTTTCCGGTACCACATTTTTTTGTGCATGATGAGATATAATGCAGCAGAGAGGACTGCATCAGATGTATGAGCTTACATGCCTCTTTTTTGCTAGGGAGGAGAACCTTTCGAAGAACATACGGAGAAGACCACCAAGTCCTGCACAAAGCCCAATCAGGAGCTTCTCTTTCCTCTGCAGGTCAATGTTTTCGCTGCACGTACCCGGTTGACTGTCAAGTTTAAGGAGAGTATCCGGTGAAACACTGTCCGCTCTTATATGAGGGTCTATAGGTGTAGCGGAGGCGTCTTGGAGGTAGATAATGATAAATATGACTGCTGACTGAAGGGGGCCTAGGTCTCGTAGCATCATAGAAATGAAAGTGTAAATTCGGCAACAGTGCACAAACACATCTTTCTGTGAACCTGGAGCTTTCGAATGTAGGTTTGAATGGAAGATGGAAAGTTAGGCACGGGCACAACCCCATCTTATATCCAAAAAATAGAAAGGAAACTTGGAATAAAAAAGAATAATTCCTATGGCTGGTGGTAGATTCTGAAAGGTCCGATGATGTTGTTGTCAATTCACGACTGCATACTTAGCTCATGTGGTTTGGGGGCGAGATGAGCATACTCTCCAATCGTATCCCGAGTCGTGGTAACCATTGATAGCCCCAACCAACACATCGAGTGGGGAAAGGGGGGGGTACACATACTATGTACACATGCATGCTGGATATAACTGGGACAATCGAAAATATCTAGAACTCCCAAGTCTCGAGCAGCGTATTCACCTCAATAAGAGGTAAGAGAAAAAAAGCAGTTTGGAGATCCGCCGAATATGAACACCAAAAAGGACACAGATTATCACCACGGGATGCGATTGTTATGTATACTGCCCAAATTGTCACGTATGTTAGGGAGAAAAAGTCGTTTGTCAGACATTGCATGCACTCTGGGCGGCGGCGTATCCAGTGATTCAAGAATGGCTGGCTTTCTGGAAGATTTCCTGTTACGGGACATTACCGATGGACACGATTGGTTCAACCATCAAGCCTCCCGGTAGTCCGGTGAATACTTAGTTAGCTAACCACCAACAGAAAAGGGCCAGATTGTCTAACAAACGGGCCTGGCTAGCGGGCTGCTAGATACACTCTTGTGCCACCATCCTAGTTGTGTGTTGCACCACAATGAGCGCGCAGGTTTGGTTCAGGTGCTGCAAGTTATGTATCATGCGGTTGACTCACATATTAAGAGATAACCCCCCCATTAGATTCCCCAAAGGATTCGAAAAGAATAGATCGCTCATGCGTCCTGTTGTTTAGTTCTGCATGGGTATGGGAAAACAGAGATCCTCAGCCCTTTTTAGCCCGATATTTTGTCTTTAGGCCCTTGCCTACACTAGAGTACCAAAAGAACGGATACTACCAAAAACTGTGGGTTGGGGAGTTTTGTACACTTACATGGTACGGCGTAGCAAAGTCTAAGAGGAAGCAAGGCCGTGGCTGTGGAGGATTCGTGTTGAGACGAAGGTGAATACCATACCATAATTGTCCATTCCTTGTCCTAGCCAATATTAAGAGATGGATATTGCGTCCAACGAAGCTTGTCCGCCGTACGATTCTCGTCCATAGCATTAACGTGCAGAAACCACATCTTCTTCAACTAAGTCCCGTCACAGGGGAGTTGGGGTAACCAAAACCTCCAGAACCTGCCTAGAAATGTAATTAATATGAACATATTTTAAGCCTATAAGTGAGACTCATTAATATGTAGAGAATGACGCCTGTCGGGGTATACTGGATTAAAGTGGAATACGGATTAACAATACTAAAAGGGAGGCTTCGAATGAGCGAAAGAATTGAGTAAGTTGCAAGCCCTATACCTCCCTATACCTTGGGATCAGGTCATTTTTCCTCAACTTTTCGGGAATTCACTATATCAGCCCAAGCTCCAAGGCCCCATCCGCATCAAGGTTTGCCAGTGTTCATACGATCCTGGTAATCGATTGTGTGCACCATGGGGCCGACGGTTGAGACTCTTCCACTCGGTTGGGTTCTACCCCCAATGAGGCTTGACTAAGAGTCAAGGTGTTGGGACTGTGCAAGCAATTACCAATCACCAAACCAAGCATTAATATCCATATTCGCGACAATTTCATGGCCACGCAAGGAGCTGAAGTAGGAAACAGTGCCGGGTCATTTAATTTTTGACGGTAGAGAGTATTAGAAATGGTATAAATGAGAGTATGGCCTAATACGACATCAGGCCCGTTCTCCATCTTCCCGGGTATCTGGTATGAAAAGGCACAGCCATCATGGATCTTTGGTGTCTGCCGCAGCAACAGCATTCCCCCGGTGAATGCCGGAAATATTGAACTTCGACATGTTGATATGCCATGACAACCCCTGTCCAAGAACCTCACGATGGTTACAGTCAGATAATCTCCTGGACAGGTGGGAGAATAAGCTATACTCCAGGCAGCTCTTGTATATGTGTTAGCCCCGTGCCGCATTAGCCACACATACACAGTACGGGGTTGGAAGTAATTGCGCACTTTATAACACTTTTGTTGCTTGCAGTTGGAGTGGGCCTGATTATTAATCAAGGGAACTTAATTTACCAATCATTTAATTAATAATAAAACTACGAATGAAATTCTGTTTTACTGTGGGTCAGCTGGGGATTGTCCAATAGATTCTTTCATTAGTCAGCCGTTTGTTTATTATTGGTTTTTGACATGATAAATTCAACATCTTTTATTCTTACATCCAACATCACAACATATATAAGAACTCAGCAGCCAAGTATATGGAAACGAGGCTGAAGATATATATATGTATATATGACTAACAACAAGCACATAACTAGTTAACTGATCGGAAGTTCAGCTAGTCGAGTTTGCCCCTGACCCCTGAACCACACGAGGATCTTCCCATTACGACTCGACGAATTTGCAACTTGCTGCCCCGTTGATGCAAACCCTGGGTAAAGGACAAGCAAGTTTACCTCGGGCTCCAAGATGCAATGTTACTTACCTCGAGGGTCTATATGAACTATCCGGATGACTACAAGTAATACGCTTACCACCGTTGAGCAGGGTTCCCCTCAAGGCACACCTCTGGTATGAACCCTGTAGCTCCATGATTTTACAACATGCTGTTAGCGACCTGGCGTGGGCAGCCGCGGGGGCCGAAAAAATATAGATGGCTTGCTGCATCTCTCTCCTAACCCTGGTATACTGAACCGCAGCCTTGGGTCTCTACCAAAAATCAATATCTCAAGCAGGGTCGTTTACTTTTACAGAGCGATGTTCTATCCCCTATTGGTGGAAGTAGTTGAACTCTAGGGATGCCCGACACATGGACCTTATGTATACATACAACGGAGGTCGGTGAATTTTTTGGAGAGTAGATTTCCCAAGATCCCCTCCCCCCCGCGCAACCCCCCTTGCGCTGGCCAGTGATGAACAAGGCGCAGATAATGGCATGCTTTCAAGGGGGCGAAGGCTGAACCAGTTCACTGGAATCTGCAATTTATACTACGTATATATCCATGAGAAGTCGATCAAACTCCCTCGCTCCCGAATTTACGGAATATATTGGCTGAGTTGGCAAGCGGGATTACCAACGCAAATATTCACGTCATCAGCAGCGATCCTTGTTATTGGTCATATGTATTGAGCCAGGACCAACGGATGAATGGAGAGAAAGGGTCCTAAGAGTGCTGGTAGGGGTGCTGGTGGGTTTGGCCCTGCATATCGATGATTCACCACTGCCGTCCTCGTGGTTTTCATTGTATGTATATCCTCTCAATAGGACTCCTGCTTCAGAGTAGACTTTGTCAGAGTGGTAGGCCGAAAGACTCGGATGCTCGTAGAACTCGGGCATGGGAACTATGTGGCTTTCATAGCCTCTTAGCCACGGGCAGGAGTGAGATATATACATAGGACTATGTATACATATGATCGGCCAACCCTGCTGAAGCTCTTGATTTCCATAGTAAAAAAGCAATTAGCATGGCCCAGCAAGGGTTGGCTGTCCAAAGAAATGGCCATGACGCTCCCGACAGCTTGTCCGCCCCTTTTATCCCTGCCTGAACCCCCTCACTTTTTATCATTTTATTGTTGCAATTGTCAAGTCTCTCTCTCTTGTCACGAGTCAGGAAGGCTATCGTGGCGCCTCCTCTGGCTCAGTGTGCGAGATATATCAGAAATAGTTACATGTAAATATTATTGGTTCTAGGGCGGGAAGCCTTCTGAGTGTTACATGTTACAGTGCTACGGGGTGGAGAGTACGTACGAACCGTCTCTGATTCACAAACGGTTGCTACCCTGTCCGGGTTACATATATACCTTCTTGAGGAGTAACCGAGATGTATAGATAAGTTTCCGCTAGTTACAGGCAAGCCCTTACATAACAGACATGTACCGACTTCTAACCCCCTAGCTACTATGTATAATACCACAGAACTTATACTAAGTACATCCTTGAGTTGTTTGCTAGTGAAAACACATATCCGTCTGACATCGACTCGGCCAACCACATTCTTGCGGTCATCCGCATATTACCATACGAGCATGGTTTGAACGGAGTCTTATATTATAAATTCGTATAGATAAAATATGTGATTTGCTGTGAACCCATGCACTCCGGCAATTGAAGGCGATTTCAAACGGGCCTGTTCTGATCCGTCAGGTGACGGTTAACCCAATAAAGGAAGTCTGGTTCTTTAGTAAACGTCCGATATCCTTGTGAGCGTTCCCCCCCTTTGAGTCAGTCTACTTATGTACATGGTGCTTCCCATCAAGCATGGGTATTAATAGCAGACGTACCGCTTCTCCCAGCCGAGGGTACCATCCTGTCCTATCTCAAGTATGCATGCCTTGCACGACCGTATTTTGGAGTCACCCGAGGTCACTGAGGTTCCGTAACACATCCTCCTCCCATGTTGAACGGGCTGAGGTGCAGGAGAACTACCCTATCACATCAACTCGCTTTATGAGCGCTAAGCGATAGAATTTCCGCTCAAGATAGTTTATCGGTGAGATTAAGTTGCGTTGATATGAGTGATGTCGCACGTATATACATATTCAGCGTCAAGACTAAATAGATGTGTATAGTTTGACATATCCAGTAGGTAAAGAAACTGTAATAATCGTGAAAGGCATTTCCCAAGAAAAAAAAAAGTCCATTCCCGAAGCACCTAGCTGTCAATAATCCAGGCTTCCAAAGAAAAAGAGAGAGAGAGAGAGAGAAATGAAATGGTGAGAACCAGTCGTAATAGAGAATGCTAACAGAGGATATCATATTGCGTCGCATTTTGTCACCATTAGTGGGACAGTAAAACATGAAAAGAGATGATAGAAATCGGCCAATTCTCGTTGTAAGTCTTTGAAATAGAATTGGCGTGGCTTCGGGGTATGTCGGGTTTCAAGGAAGATAATCTTTCGCTCACATAGGTCCAACTTGTCAGCCGAAAAGGTCGTTTGTTGATGGCACCATTTCAGAAGTCACCACTCGTTTGGGCTTAGCCTTCCTTTTTTTCCGACTTTGCTCAGATGGAGCAGGGTTGGAGGGCAAGTATGTTGGCACGGGAGCGGTGTCGGATATTATGGACCGGGGGGATTTCTCAATGTCCATTGTTGTTGTTGTGTAACTGCTATAGTCTTCATCCCTAGTAGTTGAGTTGCGCGCTGATGTACTGTAGTTGGTGGCTGGAGTTCGCTGGTCGAAGTTGTGCTCCGTTGGGCTTGTGGATTTATTAGAGTAAGTACGATGCGCTGGAGAATGGCTTCGCGTAGAAAAGTCCTGGTGATATGGATGTCGTGGGATCTCTCCGGGTAGAGTTGGCTCTAGGGAGCTGTTGCTCTGCAAAGAAGTATGTCGGTTATTCACAATAGACCTTGACATTTCAGAGGAATAACGTCCGTTTTTCGGTTTCCCAAGTTCGGCCATGGTTTTTAGGAACTCGCCACTGGCAGGTTTGTAAATAAAATCTGCCTTATCCTTTGTTGCGGTGGGCGATGACGCTCTCTCATTGAATGATCTCTCAGGCTCTACCGGTTCATCATTCTTTCGTGCGTTGAAGCCACGCGGAGAGTATCTCCACGGCTTTGAATGGGTCCGTACGAGGTCACCACTATTCTTAACCTGTTGTTCAGATATAACATTACCATTTCTGGATGGAAAGCCGCTCTCTTTAGCTTCTGGTGATGGTGAAATTTGGTTCCATCCACCTTCCATAGGCCCACTAATTGAGGGATCTCCAAATCGTTCATCGAGAGGCCCTGTAGTTTTCTGTGATCGCCTCTTCAATATCGGACGGTCTAGGCAGCACCGAACCCACGACATTTTGCAGTGTCTAGCGAAGGTGGTATATGAGAGTTGTATTAGAAGTTGAGGGTTGGGACGGGGGGAATAGAGCCTTCTTTATGGTAATCAGATAGATAGGGCGCAGCAGGGACGCATCACATCATTTTAATGCAAATAGAACACCATCAGTCCAGCTCCAAAAAGTTGGAGTTATGGATAAACGGGACAGGCTGGGAACAGGACGTATATGAAAGAAAGGGAAGATCTCCAGGCTACCGTCAGCCAACAAAGTTTATGGGGAAAGCAGCCTCCAACAACCTGAACTGAAAAGGGGCGCAATGTCCAACAACCACTCGGGACTGGGGGCCTAGAGGTGAGAGCAGTGTGTACAGATAACACCCGAAGGGGTAGGTAAATCGAACAGGCCGTAATCAGGTATGGTTCTTCTCACGCCTCCGAGGTGGACAGGGGGAGATATGGCCTGAAATTATTGGCCGAGTGAGAATAAAGGAGGGTAGAATATAAAATCGAGCAAGCTCATGGGGGAAAAATTGCTTTCGCTTTGAAGACTGTCATGGGCGTGTCACGACATATGATGGTATTTGTTCTCACTGGTGTAAGAAAATGGGAAAAGAAAAAGAACAAAAAGATAATGCAGGAAATGGAATAAGCCTCTAAACGTTGTTATAGACGCGGCTCCCTCTAAGTTGCGGGGCCTTGGGCATGCCACGATAATGTGTCTGTTCCCACAGCGTGATGTATACACTCCTCAGTCATAACTCTGCTTTGTTCGACTGGCCTGGCGCTTGGTAGGGAAACAGGCAAGATTTCAAGGAAGCCAGGGAGTGAGAGGCAGGGTCCAAAAGTTTGCTCCACAAAGGGAAGTACATTAAGAACGATGTACTCCATACACCTGCATCTACTATGTATAATCCTGGCGGATGTGGAATAATACTGGTGTTATCTTTGGCTGGGAGAAGGGAAACGCCTTAGCATAGTCAAGGCCTTGCCCCCATAACACCTCATTCACCTGCATGAGGCTAGGGCATTTCAGATTCCATGATAATAATTATTTTGGGCCTAGGATCTGCTTGAAGGCGTCATGCAGAGAGACGGGGCTGAAGTACAAAGTCCAGTCTGCCCCAGACAAGCCCTCTCTGGCTGCCTGAGCAGGGCGTTCAAGGAGGCTCAGCGCTGGTTGGGTGGTGTGGGCAAATTGCTGAGAAAAGAACAAACATTATCGGCAATGCCATGTTGGTAGGTACGTTGAAAAAAGTGACCTTGATGAATATCACATACTATGTAGTACTCCGTATGTACTATGTATGTATATATGTGCGGTGTGGCAGGCTTCTGTAGCACGACACGCATAGGGAAGTTGAATTAGCGTGTGGAGCTCTTTATGGCGGCTAAGTCATCGAGGCCAATCACCACCAGTTTCTCTCACTTCTGCCCTTCGTTTTTCTTCGTCATTTCCCTTCCGTCGGTTCTGTGTTTCAATTCCCTCTGGCCCCCAAAAAATGCAGATCAGCCTGAGAGAACGCTAGCGGGGGTAAAGAGAGAGGAAAAAGAAACGATCACAGAAGCACCATCCGGAGTGTTCCCTGAGTCGTAACATCCTCGAGCTATCCGTATTTTAACCGGCTGGACACAGCGTTCGTTCCAAACCCGGCACTTTTGACATAAGCCGTAACTGGTCCCCCATTAATACCTCGCATACTCCTAGATTTGGGCCTCGCGGGTACAAACCCTCGTCGGCCGTGGGGAGGAGAGAGCAAAGAATGATGTCCAGACTTCACATGCATCTAGCTTGGACAACCCATAATCCATGGAGGAACCAGGGAAGGGACAGGTCAACCTCTCGTGTGATAGAATCCAACAAATATCAGAGGATGGTGATTGGACTGTCTTATAAAGCCCCTGTCAATAATCAAAGAAAAAAACAGCTGGATTTGACCAGCGAAGCTTCCGCCGAGCCCATGACATCGGCGATGCTTTCTTTTCCACCATCCACAATCGAGGGGAGAGGATTTTACTTGAGTTGCAGGGAGTTTCAAAGGGTTTCTTCCCTGGAGCCTCTTCCATTTGGCAACCCCCGCAATAGTTCGAGATTTTCTTTCATAATATACTCGTGTTTTATATATGTGTTGTTGACTAGGGCTCTTCTATTAAGGTTGAGCTTTCCAATATGGCTCGCTTGACTTGCTGTTTCCCCTTGATAACCCAGAAGCCGCATTTCGGGATGCAAATTAGTTGCAGTTTTCGATGGAAAAGGCATAAAGCAACTCTGTACTTAGGCAGTGGTAGATGCAGCATGCAGTGAGACCTATTTTGTGGCGAAATGGACTCGGTATTATATACTGAAGATGACACGGCACAGCCGACGAGGATACCAGGTCAGAACTTAACCGCAAGAAAGGAATAAAGTAAAGTGATGCAGCAATCCAGCTGTGCGCCACCTACAGAGCCAGCTGACTGGCGTCTCTGCTTCCATTATTTGTTTCACAGTTCGGAGTATTCGGTATTGCGAGTGAAAAAGAACTTCAATCCGGTTCTCTTGTGGTTCTCTCCGTAGACTTCATGGCTGGCAGCAGTATGAATGCCCATTTCGTTGTATTCCTCAAGGTGATTCTCCTTTCCTGATTGGGGTTGGTAAATTTGATATACTACCAAGTTCGACTCACTGTTCGATAGGGAGGGTTTGTTATAATCAGGGTTGACTATATCAAATTTTGGAGGATGGAGATTTCACTGATACCGCATATCTTGAATAGGTAGAGAAGATCCAGCAGTTTTTATTACCCTGCTTTGCTCCAGAGAGCTACTAGATAACTTCGCCGCGAAACCATCGATAGGAGCCTTCTATAACTAGCGGTTACTCCAGGAGAGATTGTGAAGCCGACCCCCAAGCGATCCGTCGAATCAGTCGAATACTCTGATTTGGGAAGAGGAAGATCCCGCATAAGGGCCTCTTGGCCCAACAAGCAGAGTTCCGGTCGCAGATGATAGGATCAGGTCAATGCAAAATAAGGTCAAGGATTCCATGGCATGGACATACATAATAATCCGTACGGGGAATTGTTGCAGTCACTCCGTATGTAAGCCGCCATAACAAGATGTGCACATATAGAGAACCAAGATACCTAGAGTTGATCGTAACGGGCCAGCCGCTCAGTTGTTTCTTTTCACATACTTCGTACAGTTTATGTATATGCCCAACGACGACATTGGATCATGAATGTACCCTGTTGGTCCTCCCGCCGTGGTGGATAGTAGTGGCAGCAAGACATTCTAGTTCAACCTGGTTAGCGACCAGCAAGACGATCTCCTTTGCTCCCGAAAGGATCCGTGCCAGCTTGACTAATCATTAATTTTTGCTATGACAATAGTTACCAGCTGCGAGTGGACAGACAACATCCTATTGTCCAGACCGTTGGGTCGTGAGTCCCTGTTATCATGAAAGATCAGCTATACTGGGTCGGTCGATTGGAGCGGTTTCCTTCATACCTTTCCCGTCTACTCTAGACTAGGGTCTCTAGGGGCGCATATCTCCACCATCCCTCTCTCTTCCACCCTGCTGTAACGGCTGTTCCACCTGGTTATAAAAGTCAAGCAAATATTTCTTCTCCATCTCTAGTATGAGAATATGGCTGCTCTATGATCCTGGCATATTACGTATGGAATGTCACGACTTATCGGCATTCCACATACAAATAGCGATCTGAGGGTCTAGTAAGGATGCCCGTTAATGAAATATGTTACTTTATTGTATCCAGTCTTCCACAGCTTTTGTTACCGGGGCTATATCGCTTCCGGGTGACTCATTCAATAATAGCGATTCATCGTCAGATTCATCAAGAATCACCCACTCGTGGTTACTTATTCCGCGCTCGCGTGCGGGGAATCCATCATTTCGGAGCCAGACAAAAATATTTCGTGTAGCATGTTCTGAAGCTGATTCTTCCTCGACATTTAGTGCTTCATATCTGATTGGTGTATTTATTGTCGGGTTCTCCGCTGGTATACTGGCAGACATAGTAGTTGTCATGCACAATGGATGCATCGATTTACTATTTCGACAAGCCCAATACCAACCCGTATATTGAAGACCGTGGCCAGTACATTGTGCATGCAGACGAACCTCAATTTCGGTATCTTCAAGTACCGTGGTACCGAAAGGCATCCATGGAGTCAGCGGCCACCCACGTTGCCGTTCTACTTGACTTAGATAGAGAAGTCGGCATTCATCTGACCTTAAAAGCGATCCATTAGTGCTTGGCGGTTCCGACACAGGTTCCTGTATAAACGATTGTGTGACACCACACCATGATGCAGCATGGGGTTCAATCGATGCAATACCGTATCGACCATCCCGGAGGATATTCTTGTCAGTACCCATAATTATACCACCAAGCCAAAAGAATGAAACATGCGGGACTCGGTTCATCAGGATATAAGCAAGTATATAGTTGTCCTCCACAGAGTCAAGAACCGCGAATATAGACTGCAGCCATGGGCTTACGGCATTGCAAGGTATGCTAGGTTCATAAAATACACTCGACAAAAGAGAGAGTAGTCCCCGTGTGTTGCAACTCAATGTCAATAGTTTGTCCAGCTCCGGCACTATCTGATCCGATATAAAGCCAAATTTCTTCTGCTCTGTTGTCTCTGGTATATGTGGCTGAAGCCTGTGCTGCTTATAAGAATCGGGTTTCGGGAGTGATATTGGGTTTCCCTTCCTATTCAGCAAAGGGAGAAACAAGGTTGAAGAGAGCGCTGCCAGGGTTTGGTCAACAATATTATGTCGATTGCAGTATTCTGCGAGAAAACGAACCGCAGTTGTAAACGAAGGTGCGGTAGTTGATATATGACAGAGGGGTGAACGGCAAGAAAGCGTAAATTTCGCCCTTGTTTCCAAAGTAATCGACCAAGGTGATCGGAATTTTTCTCGCTCCCGTGTAAGGTAAGCCTGCCATCCCTCACCAGGAGACAAGACAGCGGCCCACCATCTAACTGCATCATTATCGATATCTCCTACATCCACTATGATTTCGGCTTGTTCGTCTCCTGTGTTGTTGCTATATTCCGCGTGCTTTTCAGTATATATCAGCTCGGCTCCGGCCATAAGTTCGACCCAACGCGCCGAGAATATGTAACTCCATGCTAGTATCAGCACAGAAAGGTGATTATCTTCATTATTAAACCATTTCTGATAGGTCGGCTCCAGGCTTTTGGAGAGAGCAAGCTGTGTTGGATGGTTGATGGAAACTGGGAGCTGAAGCCTTTTTTCCACGCGGGGTGTCTTGCATTGCCCCCGCGAAGTTTCCCAAATCGACGTCCCAGTCGCGTAGAGACAATTATACTTATACTTTATATCCAGATCATGGACCAAGGGGGGTAGATTCCGAACTGCTGGCTGTATGTGGAAACAAATCTTGGGCAGGCTGGGTTCCCCTCGAGCGCGAGCGTGAAGCCTTGCCCAAGTACAAAAGCCCTGTTCATACACGGCTCGGCTTATTTCAGGACTTGGCCGTACAGCATCTTCGGGCTCCATGGTGGATGGTATTGCAGAGTGATTTGAGAAGTAGAAGCGTTGGCGTATATGAGATCAGGGAATAGTTACACCGAATAAAATAAATGCACTCCGGGCGCGGCGGAGAGTGCGAGTATTTAAACCCAACTGTCAGATAATGTTGACAAAAGTAGTTAAGGCAACGTACTAAATTAACCCTCATAATCTGATAACCACTAGGTATAGAAGAGGTGGAGGAGTGGTGACGCTAAAAATAAGCTTAAAGGCTACTCCGTAGTTCTTGGGCTATCTTGTGGGGGAAATGGGGCGATTGGATGTGACCATCTAGTATATTCAACTGATATTAAATACAGGAATTGGTAAGGCATAATGAATAGGATAATGCCGCCCACCGGATAGAACAATGATTAAGGGTATGATACATAACTATAGAACGTAATATAAGTGACAATACATTTATTGGGTGGTTTAAGTCTTACGATTGTAAGGCACAACATGTAGCTAGAACAGATGGGCTGAACGCCTGATTGTTGATCGTCTCCTGGATGTTACTCACTGTACGGAGTATATATTAAGTATATCCTCTGCATAATACTCACATACTGCCTCTACTGTCCTCTCTTTTTACTTATATCCACCCTTATGTTCCACTGTCTACGTTTCGCGGCCTTTTCTACTCTTTCCTTAACTATCCAGGTTCGTATATCAGGATCGAAATTGACATGTCTCAATTTTTATGTTTTACACATATACAGCATCAAGTTAAAGTAAATATCCCCTATAAAATAGAGTGTGTGTGGGTAAGCGGCCAAATAATTGTTCTGAAGGAAGCCTCCGGCATTCGATATCTGCTGCAGAGAGAGATGGGTTAGTTTCGCAGCGAGGTGGAGGGAAATATGTTGGAAAGGTGGGATCTCCATGGTTGGCCATAGTAGCACGCGGCTTTGGTGGATTTTGGAAGGAGTACGGAGTATATACGATCACTTTTGTGAAAGAAATGTAGATAGAAATCTGATACGTAAACCGCGAATGACTACAGACTATAACGAACAACGGGATCATCAACACTGACTTAATTCTTGCATTCCTGAATAATAAACATGGTTCTTCGCAACCCATTCCCGAATTGCCTTTTTCATCTGAGACTTGGACCCGTCTTCGTGCCAGAAATGGCCTGCTCCTCTGACCATGACGCTATTGAATCGCGAGCCTTCTTTTTTCGTCAGTTCTTCACACCAGCTTATCAGTTTCTTGGATGATGTAAAACCATCCTTGTTTCCGAAGATAGCTAAAGTCTCGTGTTCTAAGACCTTATCTCGGAGGTCTGAACTTTGGAGATATTTTCCATTAATCGTTGTTGTGAGTCTAGAGGTCGGCGTAAAAAGGCTAGTAGCTGTAAAGAAGGAGATTGGAGGTAAAATAGGGGTAATAAGAAGATACGATATGTTGATTTTCTCCATTCTAGCAATCCTAGTGCAAGGATCTGGGGATTCTGGCTCGCTGATGATGCCATTTTGTACCCAGCATTCCTTATTCCACTTTGAGGACAGGCTCCAGGCCCTTTGCATAATTCTTGCGGGCGTGTCGTTTTCTCTGGATTCCGCAAAGACTAATTGGATACTTCTCAAGGTTGGTAAATAGCTCGCTAGCATTGACCCGTATGAATACCCCGATACTATGATAGAAGGGGGGTTCGTTTTATCCACAGATGAGTTACTCTCCGCAGCTGGAACACAGGTGGGTTTCGATAATGGTTTCAGGCCTAAAATGTAGAACACAAGAAACGCATAGAATGAGATAAAGTCACCAAGCTCTGGTCTTGCTGTCCAGCTTGTTCGGCCTTGCGATCCACTAGCGCCTCTAGATACAGTTGTTAGTATTCCCATAAGGAATGTAGTCATAAAAAGTGAAGATAAAACTACCGTAAATTGAAGGTCCCTACAACATATCCTGCTCTCAATAGTTCGCTCGCGACAGTTGCCACAACTGGGTCATCGTAGCAACCTCCTAGAGGGGCATACGGATGAGCTATTATGGCACCTTTTTGAATCCATGCAAACTCTCTATCCCTGGGCTGCGAATGATCTGGATGATATATCCTACATTGAAGTAGAATATTATCGTATAGCGATGGAATAGTAAACTGGTGTGTTGGCAGGGGCAAAGCCATTAGTATAAAAGAGTATAGCCAAGCTTGTGAGACATAAATCGCTTGGTTTTATCAGGCTTTTGGCCTCCTGATGATTATTTATTCGTACTAGAGGTGATTTTATCCTATTCGTTAAAGCGCAACACATCCAACGCGTTCATAGAGCATGAAATAAAAGCTAAACCTAGCATGCTAAACACTCAATATTTTAGAGACGTTTGGGATGTTTTGGTAAATTGGCGTAGGGTGCGAGGAGATAAAATGAGGAAATGCAGGAAGCCGCTCTGGACAACAGAACGTGTGATATGTAAAAGATAGTTATATTCAACCGGGAAGCACCAGAAGTGCCCAAGAGTAATTATTATTAACAAGTTGTAAAATGTTGAATGGGACACAACTTCGATTTACCTGTCGGGATTTTCAACCCTATAGAGGGATTATATATAACCCGATAACTCACATGCACCCGACGTGCTTATATAATATACCATATTATCAGGGGCTGCTCCGTCTGTCATGCCAGTCCTTATTTCTTTGGTGGTCAATTATTCGGCCCAGTAGTAGGGAATGCCCTTCATTTCGGATAGCTAGGAGACGTGCATATTTTTAATAAGCCCTTGCGGACGGTCCGACCAGGCAACATGCCGGCTGATAACATTTATGGTACAGCGCTAATCTGCGATTAGTCCAAACAGATGGTAGTTGTGAAAATTAAGAGAGATGTAATGTATATGGAGTATTTATCTGTATGAAGAGAAGGGCTGTTACGCTGGAGAGAGTAGCCAGGCAGGATCCGGCTCATCATCATAATCGCTATGTGATGCCGTATCCTTTTTCCCCGATAAGGGCGGAGTTTTTGGGCAGATGGTAGCTTGGTCCGTAGTATCTATTGACTTGTGTATTATCGGCGAAGGAGAGCCTCCTTTTGATGAAGTGGGAGACCGCAACAGGTCGTCTGGTACATCTCCTACCATCGTGCCCTCGTGGTCGCCGCCCGGAGCTTGATGGGGGTAGCCGAATGTACTGGAGAATATAGCCTTGGCCTCCACAAACGCTTCGAGTTCAGCACCGATTCCGCATATAAGCAGCGTCCAGTTCTTCTCTTCTGCCAGCCGTAGGTGGCTTTCTAGCCTTTGAATAGTAACGTCCAGCTCTTTCTGTATCAAGGAAAGGTCTGTCTCGCGGGCCTTCTCGGGGTCCATTGGTTCAGTCAACGAACCCTTCCCTTGTAACCGGTTCAGGGTATTCCGTAGCTGCGTCTCTACATTTGTTATTGTTGTTACAGTATCGTTCCATATGTGTCCGCCGTCTTGCAAGGCCTCAATCTCTTGGCTGGCGGCTTCACTACGCTTTTCTAGTGCCGATATTTCTAGCGTCCAGTGTTCTTCCGCCATCTCGAGGGTTCGGCGGTCCGGCTTCAACGAGAAGAATGTTGTCGGTGCAGAGGAGATATTAAGTGGTGGGATAGGCGGCTTCTTTAGATACCGTTTGGCGTCTGTATTGACCAGGGAAAGGGCGGCTTCGTAGGACGACAGCTTAGCGTCTACAGCATTCTGAAGCTGTGATATTTCATCCGCCATATGTTGATAACGTATCTTCATCTCTGCCAACCTTGATTCGGTGTCTTTTATCTCGCCTTCAAGACAGTGAAGCTCGTTCGAAAGCGCATCTACACGCTTCTTTTGGCTGTCGGCCTGCATTGTAGAAATTGACTTCTCCAATCCAGCCCGTTTATCCATAAATGATTTCACCATCTGTAGAGCATCTTTCCTGGCATGAATTTCCGAGTCGAGGATATCATGCTCCTCCTCCTTTAAGCTTAAAAGGTTGTGGATAGAGCGAAGAATGCCTCTACGTGAATTTCGGAGGCTGGGTTCTCTTTTGCGCGGTTGACGTACTGGAAGAGGCAGCGTCGGGTTGCGATTCACAGTCTGGGAGGGAGTAGGAGTCGAGCTTCTTGTTGAAGGAGTAGCCTCTCGCGTAGCTAGGGATTGCCTGGCAGTCAAAGCACGGCTCTGAGAGTCAAGCAGTTCTTGCAAGTCGTTTTGAAGCTGTCGAGATTGCCGCTCTATGTATAAAAAAGGGTCCGAGGGATGCACTGAGACCGTAAGTGGCATTGGACGCAGACGGTGGGCATCATTTAAACCCCAGGTTGACATCTTGCTTCAGGTAGATCGAGTCAAGCTAGGGGAAAGACGGGTTAAGCACACGAGCTTGATTATGGAGGATGGCATTCACACTGACGTTGAGCCGGTTCTCTTTTTAGGGATGATAAAATATAACTAGCTGAGGAGTCAAGCATGGCTTCAAAAAGATATAATTTCCTCGTCCTTCTCTCGTTCGTCATAAGCTCAAATATATTAAACTGCTCCATACACAATTTGATAACTAAATTTCCTGATGACTCATCAAAACCACGTGCGAGTGTCACGCTGTCCAACCTTATACGATGGAAATAACATATATCTAGTGGTTATATAGCGATGTTCAAGTCTGCGGCAAGACCAGACGACCAGACCGTGTGATGAGGCACTGCACCCAGAGCTAAAAGAGGATGTACGAAAGAGCCCATAATGGAGGGAAATGCAACGCAGTTTATATGTCGCTATCATCAAACCATTTATCCTTGAGCAGCTGCTTCACCGTCGGCCTGTCTCTCCAGTCCATCTCCATAATCTTGCTAATAAACTCTTTATCTGGTTTACTCACCTCCCGCTCAGTGATGAGGTGAAAGGGAGTTGTTTTAGACCGTGGGATTTCCTGCATAAGATACAAAATGGCTGTTACAGTCATTGGGCCAGCTATTTCTTGGTATTTTGCTGGGAATGGACCAAAGTAACGGAACTGCTGCTTAAGAACCTCTAGGCCATACTCCTCATGGTCGTGCGACACGGTTGCTGGTCGAAAGATGTTGAAGTCTCCGCCATAAATAAGGCATATTAGCTATATAGATGTGTTAGGGTCGTTACGGTGGGTAATGCAGTCTGTAATATCAAAACATACCACCGCACCGAGGGACCAAATATCTGTAGCTGTATTCCAGGGTGTCTGCATGATGACTTCAGGGCTGCTCCATATAGGCGCACCGACGGGAGTTCCCTCCCTTGCTAACGCGGAGTCTACACGGCTGCGCTTGATGTCTGCAAATCGGTTTTCATGGCTGCTGCCCACCTTGTAATTCACAAAGATGTTGTCAAGTTTCACATCTACCGTAAAGTAATTATTTATCGTGGCAGGAGGACCCTACGGTTAACCAACCGGTCTTACCTGCATGCACGTATCCGTTGTCATGAAGCACACTTAATGCCTTTAGAATGCATCCAGAGACATACTTAATTTCCTTTCGGTTGAGAGATTGCTTGATCGATGCGTTTAGGAGATGGTCATCGAGATGCTTCAAGACAATAACTGGTGTATCAGCCCGGTCTTTAATTTCGTCAATTAAAGGGCGTAGAAAAGGTGTTTTGGCTTTGGAAACGTTTCAGGATATCTCGTTCATTTTGCACTCGGGGATGACCGCTCACTCCTTTAACAATCACGGTTTGCTCTGCTTGATTCCTGTTAAAAAAGGGATCAACTTTTACTCTTTCCTTTGCCGAAGGGCAGCACCCACCTTGCAAGTCGTGTCCTGGAGTTCTTTCACAGCAACGTATCTCCCGAGGTTTCCGTGAAGAGCTTGTCCGAGTCGAAGGAGTGACGATGACATTACGTGAATGTACTTGACGAGGAAATGAAGACTGGAGTGTGAATAATATATATCTTTAAGATAGCCGGCTCAGACCAGGAAGAACGTCGTGCCAAATCAACTTAGGTAATAATGTCACGTGAACAACAGGATCAGCCGTGCTTCTTCGTGCTTCTTGTCTTTTGACAACAAAACAGCACCGAACACATCAGACATCAATCACCACGATCCTTTTCTGTCCTTCTTCTCTTCTTTCTCGTCTGTATTGCTAAGATCTGCTTTACTTTTCCTTTTTTTTATACCTGACCACACTCCGCCAACAACTCGTTCACCCCAAACGATCGGAAGCTTCACTTCATCCAGAAGGCGACAGAGCCGCGTACCTGCAACAGAGCTTGAACTGGAAGTGTAAACCACCCATTTGACATACGCGCATACCACCATGGTTGGCCTTGTTTCGGCGGCAGGTTTAGTAGGGTTCCTTTCCGAACCGGATACCGAGCTTAAGGTGTTTGCCCTGAAGGCCCTTGACGCCCAGGTTGATCTGCTATGGACTGAAATTGCTGGATCTGTTGGGCAGATGTACGTCACCATAGAAAAAATTCTTCTGTTTATCCGCCCTTGTATGCTGCTTGAGAAGGTTCGATTGCTAACTGCTTGAATGTAATAGAGAAGCCTTGAGCGAAGATGAATCATTCCCGGAACGTGAACTTGCTTCCCTTGTTGCTGCTAAGGTGTACTATCACCTACAAGAGTATAGCGAGAGCATGGTTTTTGCTTTAGGAGCTGGTAATCGGTTCGATATTGAGAATGGCGGAGAGTTTGAAGAGACCATTATCTGTACGTTGGTCACCTCGAGGCTTAAGGCCCACTCGGTGTTTGTTCAACGATATGCTGACATTACAACTTATAGCAAAATGCGTGGATACTTTCATCTCAACATGTTCGATGCTCAAGGCTGCACAGTCTGCTGGGCGAGGTGGCGCTCCCCAGCTAAACACCTCATTTCCACGGAATGAAGGGGGTGTTTCAAGTACATCTGCTGGCTTAAGCTCCCCTATAACTCCGTTTTCACAGTCTGCTTTACCTTCGAAGTCCCTCCTATCGCGCCCCGAGTCATCCGTGGAATCTGGTTATCCCGTTGGCGAAGATGTTGGCGCAGATGGTGACGAGGTGCCCTTGGTACTTCAACGTGGGATTCAGAGGCAGCTGCAAAATGTCATTAAGCGGCTCTTTGACCGATGTTTCGAACAGCAGAGATACCGCCAAGTTATCGGTATCGCCGTGGAAGCCAAAAATCTCGATATCGTTCGAGTAGCTATTCTGCGGGCAGCTCACGATGCCAAGCAGCAAGGTGTTGAGCCGTCGAAGAGGGGAGAGGAGCTGATGGAGTACGTTTTGGGGATATGTATGAACGTTGTCCAAGAACGAGGGTTCAGAGACGAGGTTTGCAAGCTCGAATACACCGGATAAAACGAAACAATACACTAACCAAGCTGATTTTATAGATCCTAAAACTTATTCTTGAGCTCCTAAACGAGATTCCCTCCCCTGACTACTTCTCTATCGCCAAATGTGTTGTCTATTTGAACGAACACTCAATGGCATCCGATATTCTGCAAAAACTAGTTGAGAAGGGTGATGCTAGGTCCCTGGCCGTAGCTTATCAGATCTCTTTTGATCTTTATGATAATAGCACCCAGGAGTTTTTGAAAAAGGTTCGACAGGAGCTATCGGCAGTAATCCCTGAATCCAACGAAACCGATCACTCCGAGAAAATGGAAGAGGAACCAAAGGAAACCGATCAACTGCTTGGTGATAACGAGGAACAAACCACTCAATCCACTTCTACACGTGGAGGTAAAAAATTGACAGATAAAGCACGAGCTTCGCTAAAATCCATTCGAAGTATCCTGGATGGCGCTAACTCAATCCAACTTAACCTTGAGTTCTTGTACCGAAATAACAAAGCCGACATTGCAATATTGGATAAAATTAAGGATAGCTTGGAGGCGAGGAACTCAATATTCCACACCGCAGTTACCTGCGCCAATGCTTTCATGCATGCAGGAACTACACACGACAAGTTCTTCCGTGACAACTTGGACTGGTTAGGAAAGGCTGTGAATTGGTCAAAGTTTACTGCCACTGCCGCCCTCGGTGTCATTCATCGCGGTAATCTTACACAGGGACAGAAGCTCCTCGCACCATACCTCCCCAAGGAGTCAATGGCAGGCGTTGGAAATGCCGGTTCAGTATATAGCCAAGGTGGTTCGTTGTATGCTTTCGGTTTGATCTACGCCAACCATGAAGGTTGGGCGGTGGATCACATCCGCGAGCATTTCAACAAGGCCACTGAAGAAGTGGTGCAACATGGAGGTGCTCTTGGCCTGGGAGTAGCAGCGATGGGAACCGGTGACGAAGGGATCTATGCGGATCTGAACAAGGTTTTGAACGCTGATTTGGCGCTGAATGGTGAGGCCGTTGGTCTCGCTATGGGTCTAGTCATGTTGGGATCCGGAAACATGAAAGCCCTTGAGGATATGATCCAGTATGCACATCTAACGCAGCACGAGAAAATTATTCGTGGTCTTGCTATGGGCATGGCATTGATCATGTATGGCCGTCAAGAAGCGGCGGATGAGCTGGTCAATGGGCTGCTGGGTGATCCTGACCCTACGTTACGATATGGTGGAATCATGGCGATTGCGCTCGCCTACTGTGGAACTGGAAGTAATAAGGCTGTCCGAAAACTTCTTCATGTTGCTGTTAGCGATGTCAGCGATGACGTCCGCCGCGCTGCAGTTATGAGCTTAGGGTTCATCCTGTTCCGCAAGCATCAGAGCGTTCCACGCATGGTCGAACTCCTCTCAGAGTCCTATAACCCGCATGTACGATATGGGGCGGCCATGGCACTCGGAATTTCTTGCGCTGGCACTGGCTTAGATGAAGCTATCGACCTTCTAGAGCCAATGCTTAAAGATCCCACGGATTTTGTCCGCCAGGGTGCGTTGATTGCACTCTCTATGGTTCTTGTCCAACAGAATGAAACAATGAACCCGAAGGTTGGTACTATTCGTAAGGCAATGCAAAAGGTTATTGCAGACCGACATGAGGATGCTATGGCTAAATTCGGCTGTGCACTTGCTCTTGGAATCATCGACGCTGGAGGTCGCAACTGTACTATCAGCCTACAGACCCAATCTGGTAACCTCAATATGCCTGGAATCGTGGGAATGGCAGTGTTTACACAGTATTGGTACTGGTTCCCATTGACCCATTTCCTGTCTCTCAGCTTTACACCAACCGCTGTGATTGGTGTTGACCAGAAGCTGGAAGTCCCCAACTTCAAGTTCCACAGCAACACTCGCCCGAGCCTGTTTGATTATCCTCCAGAACAGCAGGTGAAGGCAGATGAGGCACCAGAGAAGATCAAAACGGCAGTCTTGTCAACAACTGCACAGGCCAAACGGAGGGCGCAGAAGAGAGAGAAACAGCGAAGTGGAAGCATCGATATAGATCAAACCCCAACCACGCCAAAGTCTACCGCTCAGCAGCTTCCAGATAAAATGGATGTTGACGAAACGGCACATAAGGCTGAGGAGGAGAAAGCTGGTGACAAGGAGGCCGCTGCTGTGGCAGAACCCAAACGGAAGCCAGAGAAAGAGAAGGTTGGCTACGAGATATCGAACTTGTCGCGAGTGCTTCCAGCTCAAGTAAAGTACATCTCATTCCCTGACCAGAGATACGAGCCCGTCAAGAAGGTAAGATATTACATGCCCTTTAGATACACATATCACCTTTGTGGGAAGATCTGCAGCTGTGGTGCTAACCTCGATCATTTTTTGTAGCCTACTGGCGGAGTTGTTGTTCTTCTGGACAAGAAACCATCCGAACCGCGTGAGATCATTGAATTGAGCGCCAGCAAAGAAACTAGGCCAGCTGCTACTGCCGGCAACCAAGGCAGCACTGTTCAGGGCCGTCTTAGCGCCGCACTCCAAGGTGCTGCACCAGCCGCCTCTGCTGCACCTACCACTCCGGCCCGACAGGGCGCTACCGCCGGCGCCGCTGCCGCTGCGGGCGTGCTTACGGCTGTCGACGAGGACGAGGGAGTCGAGGAAGCTCCCGTGCCAGATGAGTTTACATATGAAACCGAAGGCGAGGATGAAGAGCTCTGATAGCTGGCTTAGACATCCAGGGCATCTAGAAACGACACCCCCTATCCCCCCCTCTCTCTCCCTATCTGCCTTGCCCTCTACATCTTCCCTCAGCTCTCTCCTAAGCTCCTGGTGCATAGCATACACTGTGCTGTAGACACAGCCACTTCCTGTACTCTATCCCATATTATCATTTTATCATTCTAATCTAACTTCTGTACAACGAACAACTTCGTCCTTACAATGTAAAAATCCTCCAAATCTTGTGCCGAGGTATCTGTTCCCGTGATCTACTGCTTAGTCATCGGCACTCCTTTGACGGAGAACGAAAAAGGACGAACGAACAGCTGAAAAAAGGCCGAAGACGAGATCAAAAGGGCGAGAGAAATCTCTCTACCGGCGTTGTATATAGTCCGGTTACCATATCTTGTTTATATATAACAAAAGACCGCTCCTACTACCGCTAATCCTACTACTGCAAGAGAAGAAGGGGAAGAGTGGCTAAAACGTCATAGATAGATTAACTGTTTGCATGTGACAAAAAAAGTGCTTCTGACAGCTTCGTCTCTCCTTTTTCTATCTTATGACGAGAAAGCCCGTTTGCCGCCCGGAGCTGGCTTGTGATTCTACCTAGGCATCTTCCTTCGTCTTCGTCCCCAGTTTTTCCCCCAGATATTCTTTTCTTCTGTACGGAGTGAGCTGCTTTGGTTGCCTTTGTTATACATAGCCTTTGATTCGGCCGTATATACTCGCCTATATATAGTATAGTCCTGGTATTCCTTCCCTTTACCAGCTCTCCTGTTCCTCCATCAGCGGCCTCAGCACCATCATCATGTCTGGCGTGTACTCCAAAGACGACGTTGCGTCGCATAACAAGGGGAACGACGTATGGATTGTCATCGATGAAGATGTCTATGATGTGTCCAAGTTTCTGGACGACCATCCAGGTTGGTTATCCGTAGCTATGATACATAAAGAGAAGCCTGGCTGACATCTGCTTTCTTCCAATCTAGGCGGCAAGAAGAGTATGCTTGTTCTCTATCCGTTCCCGGGTGATTTTATGTTATATTAACGTTTCTGCGTTAGTCCTACAACGTATGGGGGGAAAGGATGCCTCAAAGCAGTTCTGGAAATACCATAACGTCGGCGTGTTGAAGAAGTACCAGGGGAAGCTGAAGATTGGCTCTCTGGATACCAAAAAGGCCGCTCCAGCGCCAACTCCAGCTCCAGCAGCGCCAGCACCACCGACGAAGAAGGAGGCTTCAAAGACACAAGCAGAACAATCCTCGCCTGCCCCTGCGGTAGAGGCCCTGGATCCGTATGGCGAATTGATCCCATTTTCCGACCCATCATGGTATCACGGAGTGAGTTCTCCTTATCAAGGGTGCCTATGTTTGTTAGACGGAAGAGATGGAAAGCTAACCAGCCTCTTTAGTACTACTCTCATTTCTACAACGAGTCACATGCTGCACTCCGTGATGAAGTTCGACAGTGGGTAGAGACCGAGATTGAGCCTTACTGCCACGAATGGGATGAGGCAAAGTCCGTACCGGAGAGCATTTACAAGCAGATGGGTGACAGAGGCTATCTTGCTGGTTTACTGGGCCTATCATACAACAAGGATTTGGTTCAGAACCATGTGAAGAGCGTACCTCCTGAGAAATGGGATCTCTTCCATGAGTTGATCGTCACCGATGAGCTCTCTCGTGCCGGAAGTGGAGGTGTTGTCTGGAACCTCATCGGTGGGTTTGGAATCGGATGCCCACCTCTTGTCAAGTACGGATCCAAGGAGCTGGTGAAGCGCATTCTCCCCGGTATCCTCGCAGGCGACAAGCGTATCTGTCTTGCTATCACCGAGCCTGGTGCCGGAAGCGATGTCTCTAACTTGAGCTGCGAAGCTAAGCTTACCCCAGACGGAAAGCACTATATCGTCAACGGTGAGAAGAAATGGATCACGAACGGCATTATGAGTGACTACTTCACCACTGCCGTGCGAACAGGAGAACCCGGAATGGGAGGCGTCAGTGTTCTCCTCATCGAGCGCTCGATGGGAGGTGTCAGCACTCGCAAGATGGACTGTCAGGGCGTCTGGAGTAGCGGTACCACCTATGTCACCTTCGAGGACGTCAAGGTTCCGGTTGGTAACCTGATCGGAAAGGAGAACAAGGGATTCAAAGGTGTGTGCTTTTGGTACCTAACTGGCTTTGATAGCATTACCCGTCAAGGAAGAGTATGAGCTAACGTTCCGACATCAGTTATCATGACCAACTTCAACCATGAACGTATGGGTATAATCATTCAATGTCTACGTTTCTCTCGTGTCTGCTACGAGGAATCCGTCAAGTACGCCCATAAGCGCCGCACTTTTGGCAAGCGTCTCATAGACCATCCGGTCATCCGCATGAAGCTCGCACACATGGCACGTCAGATCGAAGCAAGTTTCAACTGGCTCGAGAACCTCGTCTTCCAGTGTCAGCACATGGACGAAGACACGGCTGCCTTGCGCCTGGGCGGAGCTATTGCCAGTCTCAAGGCCCAATCTACCACCACATTCGAGTTCTGTGCTCGTGAAGCCAGTCAGATCTTCGGAGGCTTGAGTTACTCTCGTGGTGGACAAGGTGGCAAGGTTGAAAGACTCTACCGTGATGTCCGAGCCTATGCTATCCCTGGAGGCAGCGAGGAGATCATGCTTGATTTGAGTATGAGACAGTCCTTGAAGGTACACGAGATCTTTGGAATGAAGCTATAATAGGATACAGCTGTCCTGCCATCCATCTAGCCCCAATACTCATCCGTTTCATCTTCTTCCAAGGTATATACCATGTATGAATTCTTGTCTTTATATCACCGTTGGATTTTCATTTCTTGATTCCCATATAACTGCGCGGATCACCTGTATCTTTTACCCTGGGTTACTTAGAATTCAAAAAAAAACAATTCACACAATATCGACATCTTTAGCTATATAATCGCTACTTCTTGTATCTTTTTCCTTTCTTTATATTCTTCTATTGATTAAAAATAAGAACAAAAAAGAAAGGCTGGAGAACACATGTGTCACGTGATAATCCCTTACTTTCCGGCGTTTCCAAACTTCTTCAAAGCAGCTTTTGAAGACGAAGAAGAAGAAAAGAACAAAAGAAGAGACCCAGCTTTTGCGCAAACAGACGCCTCGACAAGTAAGCTCACGATTTACTCTTTATTACTTAATCAAGTCTTTTCCTGCTCTTGTTCTAACTCTCTGGGATCACCCGCTGGCTGAAAGTGAGCTCTCTTCACGTCTTCGGATAGCTTTCTCACCAAGATCTCGACAACCCGAGCATAAAGCCCACGATCAAAACCGCACACAGCCTACTTTTTCTACTTACTATTATCCGAAAGTTTGAGCGCCGGACTCATATTCTTCAACAGGGCGCTCCTATACCTCCCACAGCCCAAGTAGCGAGACGTCTCTCCTTATCGCCAGACAGTGCTATAGCTTCACTGTTGGAGAGATCCAAGCGAACTGCGCAGAAAAACTTATACAATAGCAAATATGTCACATCCAGGAAATGAACAAGACTTTGGTTCGGAAGACGAAGAAGATTTCAACCCTGCGCCGGTTGACGATTCCGAGCCAGAAGGTGACGATGAGCAGCAAGATAGTCGCAGCGCCGGAAAGCGCTTAGACCCCGATGACGGGCAAGAGGTCGGTAAAAATGAAAAAGAGGGAGTGAAAAGGACGAGCGACGATGGGAATCGTGATTTAGATACTAATGAACGGCAGCAGGCAAGAGGTGATGATGAAGCCGGTGACGAAGACGAGGACGGCGATCCCGAAGGAGATGACGAGGACGAAGAAGAAGAGGAGGAAGAGGAAGAAGAGGAAGCGGTTACCGTACGTGGCTCTGCTTATTTTTTCTTCCTTCCGGAAGAAAAGGTTTTGTGGCATTTGTGGCCATGCTAACAAGCTTAATTTTTATATCTACAGGGTCGCCCTCGAAAGCGCAGAAGACATGGGCTCAATGCTTTCATTGAAGAGGAAGCAGAGGTTGATGATGAGGACGAGGCTGAAGATGAAGAAGAGGAAATGGAAAGCGGTTTCGTTCACCATGACGATGAGGTCGTCTTACCGGCTGGCGCAGAAACGGACGATAGGCGCCATCGTGAGCTTGACCGAAAGCGAGATATGGATGCGACTATGGACGCGGAACAGCAGGCACAGGCCCTCAAAGAGCGGTATGGCCGAAACCGCGCTGCCGGTGATGACCTTGTCGTCATTCCTAAAAGGCTCCTCCTACCTAGCGTTGATGACCCTAGTATATGGGGTGTCAAGTGTCGGCCAGGCAAAGAAAGGGAAATTGTGTTCAGCATTATTAAACGAATGGAAGAGCGCCCACCTGGTTCCAGAAACCCCATTAAGATCATATCTGCTTTTGAACGTGGCGGAACAATGGCTGGCTACATTTACGTAGAGGCCCGGAAGCAAGCGGATATTATTGATGCCCTGGACGGAATGTCTAACATCTACGTCAGGTCAAAGTTAACCTTAATCTCAGTCAAAGAGATGCCTGATCTACTTCGCGTTAAAAAGTCAGAGGAGCTCACCCCCGGCGGTTGGGTCCGTATCAAACGTGGAAGATATCAGGGTGACTTAGCACAGCTTGAAGAGGTCGAGACAAATGGCCTCAACGTCACTGTCAGACTTGTCCCTCGTTTAGAATACGGTCTTAATGAAGACAGCAATGCGCCAGCTGTTGACCCTAAGCGCAAGCGGGTTGGAGCAAGCAGCGCAATCGCCCGACCTCCTCAGCGCTTGTTTAGCGAAGCAGAAGCGAAAAAGAGACACTCCAAGTATCTTTCTGCGACGTCCAGCTTAGGCGGCAAGTCCTGGTCCTATCTTGGAGATACCTATGTCGACGGCTTCCTTATTAAAAACATGAAGGTTCAACACCTAATCACTAAGAATGTTAACCCTCAACTTGATGAAGTTACGAAATTTGCCCGTGGTGCAGATGACGGAACATCGAACCTCGACCTTGCTTCTTTGGCTGCTACCATTAAGAATACGACCGAAGAGGACGCTTATTTGGTTGGAGATACGGTCGAAGTCTTTACTGGTGAACAGCGCGGTGTTGTGGGCCAAACTGTGTCAACCCGCGGCGACATCGTTACCATAAAGGTTTTGGAGGGAGAACTTCGAGGCCAGCATATTGACGTTCCCACCAAAGGCCTCCGAAAGAGATTTAGTGAAGGTGACCATGTCAAAGTCATCGGTGGCAGCAAATATCGCGATGAGTTGGGTATGGTTGTCCGGATCAAGGATGACCGTGTTACTATCCTTACAGATATGACCATGCAAGAAATTACCGTCTTTAGCAAGGATTTGAGAGAAGCAGATGATATTGGCGTTGACGGAAAATTGGGTCAATATGACGTCCACGACTTGGTTCAAATTGAGTAGGTCCTTCTATCTTTCGCATTGCTATCTATATACTAATTAGGAAAAATTACAGCCAAACAACTGTTGGATGCGTCGTAAAACTTGACAGAGAGTCAATGCGGGTCATAGACCAGAACGGGTCAACCCAGATTGTGCTCCCCTCGCAGATTTTGGGCAAGATTGAACAACGACGACATGCAGTCACTACCGATCGAAATGGTTCCGAAATCAAGTGTGGAGATACCGTGAAAGAGGTGACTGGAGAGCAAAGGTCTGGTACTATTCTGCATATTCACAGAGCGTTTCTCTTCTGCACCAGCAAGGTCGTTGGAGATAATGCCGGTATAATGGTCACAAGGGCGATAAACGTTACCACTGTAGCAACCAGCGGTTCAAAATTGAGCAGATCCGCCCCAGATCTATCCAAGATGAACCCTGCTCTACAGAAGAACGGGATGAACGGTTCGGGCATGCCGCCGCCTCGAACATTCGGTAGGGACAGGCTTGTTGGGAAGACAGTTCATATTCGAAAGGGTCCATATAAGGGACTTCTTGGTATTGTCAAAGATACAACTGATGTCATTGCCCGAGTTGAGTTGCACTCGGTTTCAAAGGTCGTCCCTGTTGAGAAGGAGAATCTTGCTGTCAAAGAGTATGTCTTTCTCATCCTTCCCTGCCTATATTTCTATGCTTGGGTAACTAACATCTATACGTAGCCCCATTACTGGACAGCCGGTGGATATCAACCGGTTTGGCGGTGGAAGAGGTGGTGCCCCCAGAGTTCCCCAATCTATGGCGACAGGGAGAGCCGGCCCCCAAGATGCTGCTTGGCAGGGTGGTCGAACTCCAATTGCCATGGGCGATTCGTCTCGGACACCTGCCTGGCGGGCGTCATCTTCTAGAAGTAAGTAGCTTGAGCTAGTATTTCTTGACGGACGATTATAACATTGACTGACTTACTCCATTTAGCTCCTGCTTGGAATGCCGGTACTGGATCCCGCACTCCAGCATGGAAGGCAGAGGGCGCTCGTACCGCCAATCCTTATGATGGGAACAGAACCTCGTATGGCGGATTTGGTGGACGCACTCCCGCCTGGACATCTGGAACAAAAACTCCGCACGACTCTGGATCCGGATTTTCAGGGAACTCTTCCAACTCAGGCTTTGATGCATTCATGGCAGGCTCTCGAACTCCAGGCCATCCAAACGCAATGTCAGCTAACAGCGGCTCACGCACTCCCGCATGGGGCCACTCAGGAAGCTCTAGTTCTCATCTTAACGCTAATACCGGCAGAGCGTTTGATGCTCCTACTCCTGGTGGTGACTACGCAGCTCCGTCTCCTGCACCATACGGAAGTGCTCCTACCCCTGGTGCATCTGCTGCAACTCCTCGTGCATGGCCTGATAATGCGCCTACCCCTGGTGCTTCGACCTTTGCTGGAAAACGTATGGACGGTGATGCATATGATGCTCCAACACCCGCTGGTGACCATCGACCGTATGACGCACCCACACCAGCAATAGGGATGGGCTTCCCTGCTACCCCTGGTGCCACGGACGACGCACCTCGGTATGCAGAAGGCACTCCAAGTCCATGATGAAAACTCTTCCTTATACCCATGGCGTCTGCCTATAACAAATATTTCTATATCCGCTCCCGGCTTCGTGCTTACTCGATCATTTCTCGGTACATGGGTTTTATTCTACAGCCTGGTGGAAATTGGCGCTGGGATAGTTAATCTCTATCTTTTAAAATGATGTTTCCGATCTATATCCTCTCGCTTTTTGTGTGTTTTTTTATGCAAAATGATGGAAAGATATCAGAAGATGAAGAAGAAAAGTCATTCAAGCAACAAGGTGAAGCAGGAGTTTTTACTTGTATTAATAGCTTAGTATTTTCTTGTTAATAGATTCCTTCACACCAAAGTTCAGCCATCGACTTTGCTTACATAAACTTGCGACTGAGAAGCCCCGCGAGCTATCAAAAGCTCCCCACAATACGCAGAGAAGAGAAGAACGAAGAAAGGAATCTACACAATTCAGCATTTAAAAGAACAGCATCTTGGTCATAGTATTGAAGCAATAATGTCCTCGCATCCAGACACAGAGACTGAGCCCTCCCGGGCAGAACGAGAACGCCTCGACCGCGAGCACAAGGAAAAGGAAGCAAAAGAGCAAGCTACCCTGCCGTATAAATGGACACAAACTATCGCCGAAGCTGAAGTCACTATCCCAGTGCCAGCTGAAATACGCGGAAGGGATCTAGACGTCGTGTTGACCAAGACAAAGATCAGGGTTGCGTTAAAGGGCAAGGAGCCTCTTATTGATGTATATATTATCCTTGCATGCTCTGCTCCTATAATGTGAATATAATGCCTGCTAACATGTGGCCATATAGGGCTCATTCCCTCACCCAATCCACGTTGATGAGTCCTCATGGACGCTCGAGTCTGTATCTAACCCACCCGGAAAAGAAGTGTCGGTCCACCTAGACAAAGTGAATAAGATGGAATGGTGGCCTCACATCGTCACGACTGCCCCGAAGATTGATGTCAGCAAAATCACTCCAGAGAACTCGAAGCTGAGCGATCTAGACGGTGAAACTCGAAGCATGGTGGAAAAAATGATGTATGACCAGCAGCAGAAGGAGATGGGGAAGCCATCGAGCGATGAGCAGAAAAAAGCAGAGATGCTAAAGAAGTTCCAGGAACAGCATCCGGGTAAGTTATCTCGATGTCCTTTATGTTCTTTTTCTACTTAATTTTGTCTTGTCAAAGACTCACGGCTGATAACCTATTATAGAGATGGACTTTTCCAAGGCAACGATGGGTTAAAACAGACCTAAAAGACGGTAGAAGGGGCGTTGGTACGTAAAATATGGCTCCCTTTGTCTTGCATGGGGATAAAGTAGCTCTATTCATGGCGTTACCATGTTATTTCAAGCATAGCATACTGGCGTGAATATTAATATCAATTGTGTATACTTGATAGCCTTGGGAAAACGGTTACAAATTTTTAGCTGAATTGCAATAGAAACTCAACACCAAACTAAAATTGATTAAACGAACCGTCCGCTTGGTTAGGCTAAGGAGGTACTGGAGGCACCACTCCACTAGCACAGTGAATGATGAGGGTAGACTGTACCTATACCAAGGGTTGTATATGTATAGTGGTTTTAATGGGAATGGCGGAGCTCCAGCGATTAACCAATTTAGTTAATCCGGCCCGAGATACTGTCAGCCCTACCTTGGAAATTAGAAGAAAAAAATCAACATCTCCATGCATGCCGAGTTTCCCGTCTCTAATGAAGTATTTGAAGATTCTTAGCCAGAATGGTACAGTCTTTGCCTCCTGTATTTGCGGCTTTCCTAAGGTAGGATTGACCTCTACTGGGCTGACTAAGAAAAACCGACGCCCGACCTGGCAACTTTCGTCCTTCTCGTCTACTATGGGTGAAAGCCAAATAATGCATGTCAAGCCTAAGCGCGAATTTGAATATATTTCCGGTGTGGAATGTTTGGAACACTATCGGCCAGGGGGCTACCATCCAGTCAAACTTGGAGATTCACTATGCAAAGGAAGATACACGATTCTTCACAAACTCGGCTATGGAGCTACATCGACAATATGGTTAGCTGCCGATAGAGATGCGGAGCAACTGGTAGCTCTCAAAATAAAAACCGCAGAATCAGCACATAACTCTACAGAGATTAATCTCCTCTCTAAGCTTGCAGGTGAGACATTTGTGCAACGGCTGCTGGATGTCTTTAGCCTGGCAGGTCCGAATGGTACTCATCAGTGCCTGGTGCTGGAGGCAGCACAGTGCAGCATCCATATTGCGAAAGAATTATCTGGCCATCAGCTTCTAAACCTTTCCATAGCTCGATCAATCATCGCTGGATTGATATTAGGAGTGCAGCGCTTACATTCTATTGGAATTGTTCATGGCGGTCAGTTGTATTCCAAGATATGAAGCTTAGAGCTCAAGTGATTCATATTTAATAATGGAATATTATATATAGACCTGCATATCGGGAATTTCTTGCTCCGCATGCCTGAGGATATCCGGCGCATAACTAACCCCGTTAGTCTCTACGCAAGAATAGGGGAGCCCGTTCAAATGCCTCCAGTAAGACTCGACGGTGGTCCTATTTCTCCTGGAACGCCACCTCTGGTTATTTGGGACGCGGCCATGGATCTTCCATCAGACGCAATCACGACAAAGCATCTTCCGGTAATGATCGCTGATTTTGGAGAATCTCTCGAACCAGCTATCACGAAGCGACTTCATGCACATACCCTCCCGGCCCTCTGTCCTCCAGAGTCATTCTTTACAAAAGTAGATTCAGACCTTGACAGTATCTCTTTCGCCAGCGACATCTGGACGTTGGCTTGCTCAATATGGGAAATCCTAGGGGATAGCCCTCCATTTCTTCCATGGGGCAAAGCACGAGATGAAATACTTCTTCAGCACGTCAAGATAGTGGGTAAACTGCCAGAGGCTTGGTGGGCTAGCTGGGAAACTAAAGATCAGTGCTTGGACGAAACAGAACAAGGGCTATTTCTTGTGAAGGAGAAACGTCTTCTTAAAGACTGGGGAACCAGGGAGTCTCTCGAAAGACGGTACAACTGGTGCATTTCAGAACCAAGAAAGACGATGGGATTGAAGGGAGATGACCTTCAGGATGACAGTGAAAAACACGCCTTTTTGGATTTAATGCAGATGATGCTTGTTCATGAGCCGTCTAAACGGTCAACTATCGATGACGTTGTAAATTCGGACTGGGTGCAGAAATGGGTATTGCCTGATTGATACCCGCATCATCGATGGCATCAAATATGAAAACTCGGGGTTAATATAAAAATCACTACTTCTACGTACCTTTGGGCTGTTCGATGTCTTCGGTGAGTTCCTGATTATATAAGCCAACCCCACGAATGACGTCAGTAGGTCGGCTTATATAAACACAAAAACAACATCAAAACAATCGTCGTTTTTTCCCTTGCTTCTCGCTTCTTTGGCTTTTTTTCGGTTCTTATGAACTGCATTGCAACTCGTTCAGCATTGGTTTCACCTTTCCTTCATCATCATGGCAGAGGGCGTGGGAGCGAAACATGTACCAGGCCACAGTTTGGCGAAGAACTTTGGCGTTGAGTATGTGATCCTCTACTCCTTCGAGGACAAGGGTGAGCTCCCTCTCCCCCTAACGTTTCTACTATCCCCTGCATTTGAGTATTAGGCTGAATCCTGCTGGCGGCTCTGTTGCTCGTGTGTAGATGCCAATAGGTCGCTCCAAAAGCTGCTTCGGTCATTGCATAATGTTGGATTAGAAACGGCAGTTCGCCCCGCCAAGGGCCGCAGTCTTGTCGTCCTCGTCAAGCCCAGGGAAGATAAGTTGGAAATTATGGCACATAGATCAAGGTATGGGCTATGAGCGCTTTGTTTGGCACTTTGTTTGGCGGTTGATGGGTGTGGCTTACCGTGTGTAGAGTCAAGGACTGGCTGTATGGCGTGCGTACATCACAACCCACCAAAGATACCCGCGATACCCAAGGCTCCCCCTGGACGGAAGCAGAGCGCCTTCGCACAATATATGAAATGATTACACTCCCTCGTGCCGACGGTGGAGCAGACATCACTCCAGGATATGGTGAGTGGAAGAATGTCAAGTCGATATTCCCACTCCACGACCACGACGTGAACCGTGAATGGATCAAGACCTGGAGTCGAAAGACGATTCTTGACGATAACGACCTCGAGCAAATACGAGTTAAGCTGGGAGAGAAAATTGCCTTCTATTTCACCTTTTTGCAGACGTATTTCCGCTTTCTCATGGGTCCTGCGGCGCTTGGCCTGTTTTGTTGGGTTTTTCTCGGTCATTTTTCCATATTTTATGCTGTACTGAACTCGTTGTTCTGCCTGGTGTTTGTGGAGTTATGGAAGCGGCAGGAGGTTGATCTCCGGTTGAGGTGGCAGGTGAAGGGTGTTTCCGAAATCAAAGCTAGGAGAAAGGAGTACAAGCATGACAAGGAGATCGTTGATCCGATCACGGGGGAGATGGTATACGTATTCCCAGCCAATAAGCGCCTGGTGAGACAGCTGCTATTGATTCCGTTTACGATGGCGGTGGTGGTAGCACTGGGGACTCTGATTGCGACATGCTTTGCTATCGAGGTCTTCATCAACGAGATCTACTCTGGGCCCTTCAGAACATACCTGGTTTGTCTTGCTCCAAATGCATCTTCTTTCTTTATAGCACCAAGGGCTGACCAGTGGATCTATTGTCCAGGCATTTGTACCTACGATCATCCTGTCTCTGTGTGTGCCGACAATCAGCGCCATCCTCACCAAGGTCGCGACTCGCATGACGGAGTATGAGAACTATGAGACGCAGGACAGCCACGACATTGCGTTGACGCGGAAAGTGTTTGTGCTCAACTTTGTTACTTCGTATCTGCCCATCTTCCTGACGGCGTTTGTCTACGTTCCCTTTGCCCCGACAATCGTGCCGTACCTGGACGTGTTCCATCTTGCTGTCAAGCCGTTCCAACCGGACGAGAAGGCGGCAGCGGCATCTACCGCGGTGGAGAGTAAGGAGTTCCGCATCAACAGGTCCCGTCTGCGGAACCAGGTCATCTACTTTACGGTGACGGCCCAGATTGTGAACTTTGCACTGGAGACGGTGGTGCCGTACGTGAAGCGTAAGTTCTTCCGCAAGTACCAGGAGATGTCGGAGGGAAGGAAGAGCAAGGACAACGGGTCAACGCCGGGTCTGAAGGCAGCCCATGACCTGCTGCAGGACGTGCCGGAAGAGGCAGAGTTCCTGAAGCGCGTGCGAGACGAGTCCGAGCTGGACGACTACGACGTGACGGACGACCTGCGGGAGATGTGCGTGCAGTTTGGCTACCTGGCGCTCTTCTCGCCGGTGTGGTCTCTCGTCCCCGTCTCGTTCCTGGTCAACAACTGGATCGAGCTGCGGTCTGACTTTTTCAAGATCTGCATCGAGCACAAGCGGCCGACGCCGTTCCGCGCAGACTCGATCGGCCCCTGGCTGGACTCACTTGGCTTCCTCGCGTGGCTGGGCAGCCTGACGAGCGCGGCCCTGGTCTACATGTTCTCGTCGACGGCCGGCGGCGAGGCTCCCCCCCACGCCGACATCAAGGGCTGGCTGCTGCTGCTGACCATCTTCTTCTCCGAGCACATCTACCTGCTGGTCAGCCTGGCGGTGCGGGTGGCCATGTCGAAGGTGGAGACGCCCGACACCCGCCGCGACCGTGCCGAACGCTACCTGATGCGCAAGGCCCATCTGGACTGGGCCGGCGGAGTCCAGCGGGGAGAGGAGACGCAGGGCCGGGGCGACAGGCAGGCAGACGGCCGCACGGGGGACGACGAAGAGGCCTACGGGGACGACTACGCGGACGCAGAGATCGGGCAGATCACGCGTGCATCGCTGGAGGAAGACGCACGGAAGTTCAGCATGCCGGATGCCACGCCGGCGGAGCTCTTCTGGGCGCGCCAGCGAGGGTGGAGGGAGTCTGCCAGGGTCGGGGCTGCCATTATTCAGGCTGATGCAGACGGCGGTCCGTCTCCCGACAAGAAGACCCAGTAGATCTATCTCTCTCTATCCATCTCCATCATCTCTATCTATCCATCTCCATCATCTCTATCTATATCCATCATCTATATCTATCTCCATCATCTCTATCTCTATATCTATCTCTATATCCATCTATATCCATCTATATCCATCTATATATATCTACTTGGCAACCTGCATGTCCTTACGTAATGCCATGACGTAACCACTGACTAATATCATGTGTCAGCATCATGTGACATCCACTCGCTTATTAATACTGCCCCCTCTGCCCGCCTTTTTTCCCTTTTCTTCTCACTTTTTTTTATCTTTCTTACTCATCACGAAAAAAAAAAGGCCAGACAAAAAGAGAGCGAAAAGGAAAAAAAAAAAAAAAAAGCTGACTACGATCTGACTACACAAAAAAGAAAAACAACAGCTTCCCTTATATAGATCTAAAAAGCTACAGAGCAACAAGAAGAAGAAGAAGAAGAAGAAGCAGCTCGCAATGTCCGCCATGCAGCAGCAGCAGCAACACCAGCAGCAAGGACAGCAGCAGCCGCTCGCGCCGGCGCCCCATCCTGGCATGCAACAAGACCCCAGCAAGTCGCATCAGACACAGCAGTCCGTCCAGGTAAGCTCCATCTATATACGTTTGTCTCTTAGAGACCATGCGCGACCACATATATATGCACATAACATGTGTATATACAATTATATGTACGGGTGTATTCACTTGGAGAGAGTCACTTGTTGGTGACTGGGAGCTAGAGTGCGCTTGCCGGCGTATATATCTTAGCTGCGCCCTGTCGGGTGTCTCTGCCCTCTCTTCTGCCACCACGCCCAGCAACCGTACTCTTTACTGTTGAATCGCGTTCTCCTCTCTCTCTATCGTCTAGCTATGGAAGACTCTGCTGACCAGAAGGAATCCGGACGCGCTTTGCGGCCCGTCTTTCCTCTTCTTCACCTACAGGACCATGCAGAACAAGGTAGGCAAGGAGAACACAAGAAGAAGAAGAAGAAGAAGAAGAGACATGCTGACTTGTGCCTGTCTCAGTTCTACGCGAGCAGCTGCTTGCCGCCCACCTACAGTCGGCAGCTCACCCTGCTCCGCCGCCTCCCCGTCCGCAGCCAGGCGTCGCGGCACACCTCCAGGCCGCGGCGGCTGCTGCTGGTGCCGGCGGCCAGAGAGACCACATCAACATAGATCCCGCCATATCGGGCCTCGCGGGCGCCCAGCAGGTGCATACCACGGCCGGCATGCTCGCGCAGCCACCGCAGGCCCAGGTCCAGGTCGGCCAGCAGGACATGTCCGGTGCCGGCGGTTCCATGGACGAAGGCGGTGAGTCGCGCAAGGTCTACGGCAAACGCGAGCTGTCTTCCTCTAAACGCGCGGCGCAGAACCGTGCTGCTCAGGTGTGTTGCCGTTTATTTATTTTATCAAGTTCGTGTTGTTAACACGCGTTGTTGTTTAGCGCGCCTTCCGCCAGCGTAAAGAAGGATATATCCGCAAACTCGAAGAACAGGTCAAGGAATACGAGATGCTGCTCGAGAACTACAAGGCCATCCAGGCTGAAAACTACCAGCTGCGCGAGTACATCATCAGCCTGCAGTCACGGCTCATCGACTCGCAGAACGAGGTCCCGGAGCTGCCCAGTAACATCGACCTCAGCCAGCCTCGTCCGGAGCCCGCCATGATCGCCTCTGGCGGCCAGCAGCAAGGCCAGCAACAGGGTCAGCAACAGGGCCAGCAAGGCCAGCAGCAGCAGCAGCAGCAGCAGGGCAACCAGCAGAGCGGCGGAGCGGGTGGCCAGCCCTCAGGCCAGCATGTCCCCCCCGGATCACAGTCAGAGCTCAACGCCCTCAACCGTATCGCCGTTGCTGGTCTGGGTATGAGGAAACATCAGCACGAAGAGGCAGCCTTCTTGGGACAGAGCGGCAACTTCTCCAAACGCACCAGACAGGACGGACAGGACGACTCCCAGACTGGAGAGCAATCCAAATCAGATCAGATCTAAGCATCACCTTCTCTCTCACACACTATTTCTCTATCTTTTCTCTGCCTTTTCTCTATCTTTTCTCTGCCTTTTCTCTCTATTGCCACGTCGGTGTTCGAAGGAGACGGATTCGGTTTTTTTTTTTCGTCCTGTTATATGCCTCGTATGATTCTGCTTCTTCTTTCCTTCTACACGGCTAGGTTATCTGCGTATTTGTTTCGTCTGGCTTCTGACGAGCTGATATACTGCTACTACTGCTGCTGCTGCTGCTGCATTGTTCTTCGCTAAAGATGTTGCGGATGGGCAGGCCTAGGGGGCCTAGGGGGTGTTCTGGAGTACGGTTTTACGTTTTTAATGCGCCTTCTTTTTCGCCTTGCTTCAATATTGTATTTATTCTCATGCGTTGACTTGTGTTTCGTTTATATTTTGGCATAAAAGCGTCGCAAACAGCTTCCATTCATACAGTTCTTCCCTTCTCCATCTATTAAAATCACGCAGCGTTGCCCAGGCTATGTTCCTGTTCTAGAGGTCAGCTTCTGCTTTCTCGGGAATATCAATTCACACACATATATATATATATGTGTGTGTGTGTGAGCACTCACCTTGAGATATTCACTGCCTTTCTCCAGATACTCCTGTCTCGAGACCGAAGCAGTCTTCAGCTCGCCGCTCGCCGCCCACGCTGCAGCTCCCTTCCATGCATCCAGCACCGCATCCCCAGCCCGTCTGACCCTGCACTCTGCCCCCGTAGGCAACACGCCCCGATACTCCCGCCGGAACCGTTCATCAAACCCTTCAAATAAGGTATTACCCCCCGTCACAAACACATCTCTCAGCAGCCGCTGCTGGTCCTCTGCGGCCGGGAAACGCTGCAAGACCACATCTGCCGCAATCTCAACCAGTCCCGCCTGGTCGATACCCGCTATCGAAGGCTGGAAGATCACCTCCGGAACCCGAATGCGCTCAACGTTCAGATGCAGCTGGTGGGCTTCGCGCTGGCTCTCAGCGTCAAACGGCCACGGCCCACGCAGGAACATGTGTATCATGCTCTTGGTCCAGTCCGTCTGCGCCTCGAGCGTGTGGTTCTCTGTAAACTCCGGGTCGTACTGTAGTAGCTGCTCCTCCACGGATTTGAGCATGCCATCTACGTCCTCTTCCTCTTCGTCGTCGCTGGCATCCCCCGTGGCAACAGTGCGGTAGACACCCCAGTCTTCGTCGTTGGCTCCAAAGTTGTCGTCTTCGCCGCCTCGACGGCGCTTCTTGGGTCCGTCAGCCGCCAGGTTGGCGAGTGTGCGCATTCGCATTTGGCTCGCGAGTGATTTGCGATTGCCTGCGTCGGCCTTAAGGCGGTCTCGCTGCTTGATCTTGCGCAGTATCGTCTACGGTTTTTTTTTATACATGTAAGAAATTTGATCATGAATGTAAAGAGATAAAAAAATTTTTGGATAAGGGGATTACCTCGCGAGCCTGCCTGCGTTCCTCGATCCAGGCATCAAACTGGTTCTCTCGCTTCTCATCATCCAGCCGCTGCTCTTCTGCTATTCGAGCCTTCTCTCTCTCCTTCTCTGCCTTTGCGCGCTGTCGAGCCTCGACATTCGACTTCATAAGCCTCTGATGTCGCTTCTCCTTCAGACCGGCCTCGTCCAGCTCTTCGTCCGGCACATCCAGAAGCGGGAACGAGGCTTCTTCCATAGCCTCTTCGTTCTCCTCGTTCCCGAGGTCCTTATTCCTCGACCTCTTCACAGACTTCTCCAGCTCTTTGATGGTTCGGTCCAGTGCTGCTTCGTCCTTCATGTCTTCTGCGTCCAGTAGCCGTCTGATCTCCTTTTTGGTCTCGTTAGCGAACCGTGACTGGATCCCCTTGTAGTACTCTAGTTCCTGTTCCTTCTTCACCAGCTTCTCAAGCCGCATCTTGGCTGCCTGCTCCTGCAGCCGCCGACCGCTCTCCTTCTTTCTCTCGGCGATCCTGGCCAGCTCTTCCTCCGTCTTTTCGACTACAACATGCTCCGTGTACGGGTACTGGATGACACGATCGCGATTCTCCAGACCAGTCCAATCCAGGTACCTCGACAGCTCGTGATCGTAATCCAGAGAAACATAGCAGTGTTCGCGCACCATCTCCTCCACTTGGCTGTCTGTCATCTTGGACGGAAATGTAGGGTATTTTAGCTTGAGCAACTTCATCAGATAATCAGAGCTCTGGTGGCCTCCCCAGTTAAGACGGGCTGAATTGAACAGGAGTGCTTTTGAGCCGAGTACGGGGATGACATGCGTTGACGAGTGTGAAGACGAAATCACCAGCCCGTCCGTTCCGTTGTTATACCTGTATGAGAAGAGCGAATCTATCCCGTATGCGACTGAGGGTGCAGAGTAGCATTCAAAGAGAATCTCGTTCATTACTGAAAAACCAATTAGCACTGCAAAAACCATCCCTGTGTGAGATAGGTATATACGTATAAAGCATACTCTTTCTAGAATATCCCAGGTTGGCTATCGTTTCTGTGAGCACGAGCGGACGGTTGACAGACCCGTTTGCACCGTCTACACCAAGCTTGAGGAAGATATAATCCAGCAAGCCCTCGACCACGTCCCAGTTGCCTATCACGCCTGTCCCGGCGTCAAATGCGTTCCGTATCTGCCCCCTGGCGGTCGCATCAACGTATGCATCGTAGCCAACGAACTGGCAGGCCCTGTTCAGCTTGCGATCTCGGTACTTGGAGGCGACGGGCGGAAGCACAAATCGCGGCGACTTGTCAAAGGACCAACCTGCCTTGACGGTATGCGAGCCTACAGAGGTGGGAAGAAGGCTTAGCGAAGAACGAGATGAGGCGTGTGGATGGGTAAGGGGAAAAATTGCCAACCGTTGTCTATCACAATTGCACTTGTTCCGGGCGAATGCTTGCTCTGTTCATAGCCGTCTGGCTGCGGGGGGTGGAAGCCTTTGAACGGCGGCTCAGAGATGTTAAAGATCTTGGGAGCTGGCTTTGCTTCTCTTCGCTCCTGAATGCTCAAGACTTCGTTTGGGCCTGCGATGCGTTGGGTCGAAGAGATGACCATTCTTGCTGTAGCCGTGTAGCTTGGATGATAGTTTGGATAGCTGTTGGTAGGAGGTGAAGTGCTGGTTATCGATTAAAGCTCAAAACGAGCTCACATGGCAGTTTTACTAGCTATTCCTAGCGGCGCAATAGGGACCAGGACGAGAAAACGGGCGGTATCATGGTTCTTAACAAGCTGGCGAGGTTGTTGTTTTTGTTGAAGCGGTTTTTTTTTTTTTTTTTTGAAGTTTTGGTGATGAGGAAGAAAGCTTGGAAGCCGAAGATGTTTTCTACATTAATCAACTAGTTTTATCTACGACTTTATGGAGTAAGATAATATATTATAAGACATGACTTCATTACTGGGTATCAATTCGTATGCGGCGCTATCCTCGGCTAGATATCGTTATGAGGGTTCCTTCAAGTTCTCCGTTGCTGCGCCCAGCGTCAGTTGGTTGGCAGGAAATATCAGACGGAAGGAAAACAGAGACAGACCTTCAAGATGGAAGAGAACGTTTGACTGGTAGTTCTTGAACATCTGCACGACCAGTTCGACATTCATATTCTGCACATTGACTTCCTATCGTCCAGTCAGCGGTTTTACTTCTGCTTCCCCCGTTTGCTGGATTGGCAATACCTGGAGCCCCTTGTTGAGCACTGTGATGGCTTCATTCAGCTTCTCCTACAGAGACCGTTTAGCATCAGCAGAATCCCGGGAGATAAAAGACGCGGCGCAGCACCAGGAGAGAGAAGAACAGCCTGAGTTTCTACTGACAACATTGGTGATGATACGCGCCAAAAGCTGGCTTTGTTGATGTTCGTGTGGACTCTCCTGGAGGCGAGTAAGCAGGTATCCGTAGTACGCGGAGAGTATCACTTACCATGGTATATAACTAGAGTCTAAGGAGTTTTCTAGGTGTTGAAGCGTTGAAGCTGTGAATATAAAAATGAAAGTAAATAAAAATGTAGAAAAGCAAAGTTGACTGTTTGTTCTGTTTGCATGATCGCTTGCTACATCCAAAGAACAAGAACAAGAAGATCAACCAAGAGAGAGGCAAATAGCAAGAGATAAACGGCCGAATACCAACACAAGATACCTGAGGACGACCGAGATGGCCCCCCCGACTGCTCCCCAGGACGACTCACACCAAAGACTGCTGGACGAGCTCGACATCGCCCGCATTCCAAAGCCCTTTCGCAATCCCAACTGGAAGCCATCCGCACGCCGCAACAAGAATGTCAAGCAGATCATTTCCGAGACGTCAAGAAAGGAGGCCTCTGCGGTCGCAAGCCAGACGAACAGCGGCAGCTCCACGCCCTTTGCCATAGCAGCCAGCTCAGCAGCAGGAACCGGCGCAGGAACGGGGACAGCAGAAGGAGCGCAGACGCCTTTGGTGGCCGGCCACGCGCAGCAGCAGCAGCAACAGGCAAGCTTAAAGCAAGCCAACATTGCCCAGGCAGCACAGAGCCTTTCAACCCTCGTGCTGGAGAGGAACTTTCGAGCTGTCTTTCCTCCCTCGGGCCCGGCCGTGACCTACACCAACATCGACGCCGCTCCCTCTCTACACCCCAGTCACCAGAAACGATACTGCGACCTTACCGGTCTTCCGGCTCCGTACACTGATCCCAAGACGAGACTACGGTACCACAACAAAGAGGTATTTGGCGTGATCAGGTCGTTGGGGCCGGGAGTGGCAGAAAACTACCTGGAGGCCCGAGGTGCCCATACCGTGCTCAAGTGACCTGCCTCCTACGACTGCACGATATTTCATGCCTTGGTTTACAAAGTGCTGGATGTGTACGATATGTACAGAGTAGACGGACACATGTTCGGCCCACAAAGTCAAGCACTATCCATCCACACAGCCCCTTTCGAGACGAGTTCAAGATAACGCTCCGGCTTAATCGGGACCAGGCCTGGAGGAAGACACACTGTATAGGTGCTCCCCCTTCAGGCTGTTTTGCTCTGCGCCCTGTCGAGACAGTTTTTTTGACGGATACCGACGTCCCATGGATGGGGGAAGGTCAGTTACAGTGTCGGGTCGACACTGTGGCCATGGCGTTGTATGATAGCTTTGAATAAAATTACGAGATCTAAGTTAGCATTCCACATCATTCCCCTTGCATCTCTCATTTGGACCAGGCGAAATTGCGTTATCTCCAATGTTATGTTGGTTGTTGTTTGTGATGTTCGAAGTTGATGTTGGAAGAAAAGAAGTGCGAAATGCCAAAAAGGGTTAGCGCGTGGAATCAAGATGTAAAATAATTACATAAAAAATAAAGAAAAATAAATAAAAATATTCAAGATAAAAGAAGAAATCGACTTTTGGCCGGCTTCGGCGTTTTATCTTGATTAAAAAAGTCTCCTCGCAAGACGGTTAACATGCCAGGCTCCTTCAAGGGATGCTAGAACTCCCCAGAGCTCATGCGACCAACCCCGTCACCAAGCTTGCCCTTCTGAAGTACAAACCTGATTATCTGGCCTCTAGCGCAAGAAGCTCCCCCAAGGACTCCAGAGTGACGCCCCGGTAGCAATTGGCGAATAATATATATATACACAGTAAGTAGATGATATATAGCAGGTAAGTGGAGCGCGTTTCCATATATCTGAGGAAAATAATAAAAAAAACTCACTTCCTTGATCCCTTCCGATCGTTGTCCTTGGTGGAGTGTTTGGGTGTTTCATGGAATTCCGACTAACATGTCTCCCCTTCAGGAAGCTCGATCTCGAACTGTACGGATAGATAATACTATCTACATATACAGTAGTATCTATTACGATATCCGATCTTGCACGGGTTCGCTGATTCATCCGGACGATCAACTGATTCCTTGCTGTTCTGGACATATCGGGAATAGCTATATACATACCCCGTCGTGTGTGAAGTTAGGGAAGCTCAGGAAGTCTACAAGGGACAGCCGCAGCTATGCCGTCAATGTGGCTGACAGACACGCAGAGTGAGTCCAGTGTATCCTTTTGGGACAGCTTTCACAATAAGCAAGTGCTAATAGGATGTACTCTAGAGGTTGGGGTGGTGTTCTGCTCTGGCGGTAGGTGAGAGAGCTTTGCATCGTTGCTCCGGCGGTCAATATGTGAGAACTGGCATTAAGCAATCGTACAGGCAGTTTATTCCTCTTTCTGGGAATTCTCATGTTTTTTGATCGATCACTGTATGTACATCCTCATCTGCGTTGGTAGACACAAGACACCCACTGACGGCTTAACGCAGGCTTGCTATGGGAAACGTAAGGATGCGTTCTCCTGCATCTACCGCACTCCTCATTCTGACACTGCAATAGATCCTCTTCTTGATCGGCCTACCACTTATCCTTGGACCCCAAAAGACTCTCGCCTTCTTCGCCCGCAAACAGAAGCTTACAGGAACGGTCACCTTTGCCCTGGGAATCGGACTTATTCTCTGCCGCTGGCCGCTCATAGGGTTCTGTGTTGAACTGTACGGCCTCTTCGTCCTGTTTGGCGATTTCCTCGTCACTCTCGGCGGGTTTGTGGGCAGCATACCTGTCGTCGGACCGTACTTGCGACAAGCGCTTGTCTGGCTGGGCACCTTGGGGGGAAGAAGGGCTAACCCAGACCTACCTGTATGAGGAGACTCTTTTCAACTTACTTTCGGACACTCCCAAAGGCTTGAGAATACACCTACACTCAAAGTGTACCTTCACCGCTGGTCTGTCCGTAAGGATGATGGCGTGCTCTCTACAAAAAGTTGGGGGTACGGCCGAGTGGTTGGGGGTTGCAGTGAAATGCACCCTTCAGTCTAGTATTTTACTACTTGTATGTATTAATAGCAGCCATGATATACCCGTTGATTATTTAAAGAACAACTGCACCGAAAAGGGATTAGGTAGTGAACTAGATGCCATTCATCGAGGGAATGTACAGTGGTTTAGTTTTCTTTCCTTTTTCCATGGTGACAAGTCCCCGGATGGTATTCATACTAAAAAAAAAAAAAAAAAAAAAGACTATATGCAAGAATAAAACGGCAGGCATTTATACCGAGTTTTACTTCCTCTCCCAACAGAAGGACGAGAGGGATCGACGGTCCGGCGGATCTGGACGTTGGTTGGAGGCACAGGGAGGGGTTGGTATCCTAGTAGCCCACGCCCATGAGGTATTCAGCCAGGGTTTCCACCGTGTTGGTGGCGGCACCCGGTTGGATGGTCTCAGGGTAGTGTGCAAGGAGGAGAGCCTTCTTGGTCTTCACGATGACTATGCCAGCTTTTCCCTAAAATTCAGGTAAGTCGATATGCCGGTGTAAGCGTTACGAAGAGTGGATGGTGATGCCCTCATACAAGTTTTCCGTAGACCCTGCTATCGTCTGACCTGAGAGTGATGTACTTCTCTCCGCCGACGTAGAAGCCCTTGGACTGTATTTCCTTTAAAGAATCGCCGGCAACGGGTTTAAACGAATCTATTATAAATTTCATCTCTTCCGGTTTCACCTAGGCAGACACAAGAGTCAGAAACACGTCAACGCGGGGATGCCGGAAGACATACTTTGAAATCAGGGGAAGACGCCCAGGCACTGGTGCCTTGGTCGTCGAAGATGGCAGCTTTGTCGATGTTGCCGGAGCCAACAAGGCTGTCAGAGGCGTGTCAGAGATTCCCATGTCTTGTATATATATATATATATACATGTATAGATAGCAAGAGATAAGAGGTGAGAAATACCTGCTATCGACATAGGCTACAGGAGACAGTCAGCAAGCCAGACACATAAAACGCCTAAAGGGATAGTTATAAATAATAATGTCTACCTTGCCAGGACATGATGCTTGGTTGTTGTTGGTGTATACGTGATGATGATGGTGGATGGCGGGGTGGCCAGGCGACGCCGGAAGCAGAGTCAGGCGAGATAACACGGTAGAGATGCCGCTGTGTTTCAAAAAAGAGTCAAGTCTGCGTGTTCAAGATGCTGATACTGACGCTGTAGTTGCAGAAGAAGAGGAGGAGGAAGAAGAAGTTGATGTTGTTTGTTGGTGTGTTTTTTTTTTTAGGTGGGATGTTTTATTTTGTTGTTATAGCTAACTAATCAGGCCGAAAGTGGGGGGGAAGAAGTTTTCATCTTCATCTTCACAACTTCAACTTCAACTTCACCAGCAACACCATCAACTATCAACAGCAACAGCAACAGCAACAGCTATCAAGTATCGATGCTCCTCGTTCCAAGATACAAAGATGCCGTCCTCAACTTCAGAGCCTAGATCGGTCTTGAGATGTGATGCTACTCATCTCCTGGCGGTGGAGTGTACCGTCAACCCTGCAATCTTCAGCCAGACACCAATCATCCTGGCCTTGATGAGAAGGATCAATCCCTGATGTCATCGTGGAACAAGGTGCATTACATACGCACACACATATATATATTATACATGGGACAGCATGTTCATGCGTCATGAAGCTCCCTTTGCTGAGCCTGCCGAAACGAAACAGCTGAACTGGATGCAGGCAGAAGAACCAGCAGCAAGCGGCACAATAGCACTTACAGGGGCTAAAATGGCATTGAAATGAACAAGGGAACCCTCGATATGCACCTCATAGACGCCCCATGGGAGGGAATTTGTTTTTCCTCCTTCATCGGCCTTCGTCGCTTCGTGTTTGATGCGCTGGGATCCTGGGCTGGTCCAACATCGACGCTAGCTAGCGGTTGTAAACTGCATTTTTAACCTTAAGGCTTTTCAAGTTCAACCATCGATGTATTATTGCGATTCTTTTATAATCTCCATTCTCCATCTGTCGACCCATCGATCGGAGCGATAGGCTACTCCGATACGAAGTACGGAGTGGAAATATAACTAACTACATAGTACATCACGATTCCACTCTTGTGGAAATGAGATTGTCAGTCTTATTTCGGCCAACGGAAACGCCATCCCCTGGCCGCGCTCCCGTTATGTTCCTAGCCTCACCCCCACAGGCAGACTCCGTGGGTCTCCATCCTTAAAATGAACCTTTTAAGCCCTTGTTTCAGGACTCTGCCTCATGTCAATATAAAGCAAATTGCTTTAATTGATTTCTTCCCGTCCCTTAACAGTCATGTTAAGCAGGTTTCGTCCCTTTCTTACCTTTTTTTTTTACTTTCCCTGTTTCGCTTTAAACCCCACGGCTTTTCTTCTAGTTCTGCTCGTCTCAGGCTTTGGTATGGCCGTCCGCTCGTTATTGTTATAATAATATATACCATTTATATTGTTTATATACCCGGGTAGCCGCTGTTTAACTTGATTGTCTGGGCAAACCAACGGTTGGATTCTCTATGTACATTTTTGTGTGTACTATGCTGGATAAGTGAACGATATGGGGAAGACAGTCTCAGCAAGACCACGGGCTCACACGACCACCGGAGCTGCCAAACAGCAACCACACGAGCCGCCTCGGCCCAATAGCCAGCAGCATCAACGTATAGTCTGCAGCTCTGCTGATAACTTGCATAACCCCGGGCAAAATAATTCCCAGCGCGAGCCCAGGAGAAGCAACACAAACGCCAACCGCAGTCGCAGTGCTGGTACCTATGCGTCCAAGCGGCTAAGTCCAATTGCAGACCAAGGACAATTTGCTCGTGGAGGGCAGAATCGCTCCATTCATCCAAACAGTGACCCTCGATGGAACGAGATGATCGGGGTTGCTTTGAGTAGCCCTACAGTGGACCTGTTCCCCGTTCCGCCAAATACTAAGATTGATCCCATGTGTACCAAAAGTGCCCCTGCAGGTCTAGGTAAAAGAGAGGTATACTCAGGCACTGGGCGGGCCCATCTCTGTTGCAGCACTGCACCAAGTACCGTGTCAAGCACTATATCAAACACGGTCACTGCTAAAAAGCCACTTCAACGGAAGCCGAGTAAATGGAAGAAATTCGGAGGTCTGTTTCGCGCGAAACAAGTTGAATATCCACAAAACGAGTTCTTCTATCAGGTTCAGGTTAACGACAAACCTCTTCGCCCTGCTAAAAGCCCTAATTTTCAGCCCCAGGTATTTGTTGGCAACCAATACCCATCAAACTCACTGGATGCTATCAACTCGACAACAAGTCTGGACTCTCGAAGTCAAGCTCGTCAAAGCAACCACCAACGGCATCACCGCCAACGCACTGCTAATGGCTCGGATCCTGTCAGTCGACCTCACCTAGACTTGTGCCCGTCGTCAGGAAGATCGCTTTCTCCTGACGAGTCACCCAAACAGGCTAGAAAGAGGACACCCGCCAAATTGATTAAAAATTCTGAGATCAGAAGATACTGGAACACAACGTCTGACGAGCTAGAATCAGCTCCAGATCTTCTCCAAACAGCAACAACAACAACAACAACAACAACAACAACAACAACAACAACAAGAACAACAACAAGCTCCCCGTTTCTTTCCGTGGATATTCCTAGCATTGAGATGGAAAGGTATAGCGTCATGTTTGGCGGGCTGATTGATAATACCGCGCCATCTCTTCTGGCTAGGAGGAGCAGGGTATTAAATAAGTTGAAAATCCCTGATAAAGAGGTGAGCCAACTCATGTCCACTTTTACTTGCTCCCTTTCTAAGGTTTCTTGTGTTCTTTGCTGCAGGATGATGATCGCCCATTACCTCCTCCGAGACGTGCTACTTCTCCTGGGCCGGCCAAATCACCTGCTTTTTCGCTATTCCCATCTACTCCTACGGATAAGCAGTCGAAAATATTAGGATCACACTGTCTACCCCGTCAATCTCCCCGCCAAAAGAGATCAAACACCCATCCATCGCCTCAAAAAGCTCTCTTCGACCGCTGGAGCCGTGACACTAAAAGAGGCCTAGATTCCTCTCGTGACTTACCACCCCCTTTTGTTCCAAATGCAGGCGAATCTAGCGATGGCTCCTTGTATTCGCCCTCAAGTTACGATGAAGAGTCAGATAAATACCCTAACCCTGTCCGCTTACACGTCAACCCCCCTGTTAAGCTGGTTGAGCCGGATTGGGAAATGGTTACTCCAGCCCATAAAATGGGTGAGCCTAAACAACAGAAGAACCGTTATCCACTGCTGAGTCCCACCCCAAGTGTTAATTTGCCTGGCCCAGGTGAACAAGTCAACGGAGCGGGCTTCTACTCTATACAGCCCCCTCCTCAAATTAGTGCTCAAACCCATAATCCGATCCAGCGGCCTCCAGCTGATTCATTAAGACCCGAGACAGCATCCTCTTGTCCTCCAAAGTCGAGCCATCAGAACAATCTATCAATAGACTCACTGTCCGACGACCTACAGAACGAAATTGACACAGCACAAATATCTATTGCACGATCCGTCTCTTTAAGCAGAGGGCAGAAAAAGATTTTGGTTCCTGTTGGTGCGAGAACAGGGTTTCTTCGGCCTGGCGAGCGGTTTGTTGAAAAATCTGCAGGTATCCCAACACAGCTAGCTGTCCAAAGAGGCCATCGCTATGAAAAGTCTAGAAATGCCTTGATTGAGAATGCCTAAACTTTCCGTGCAGCATTTCTTATCACAGCCCAAAAAGCTACATTCCTTACTATGCTGTGCTCTGCACCTTGAAAACTCTATAGCCCTTGGCTATATTTCATCCCTCCCTTCACCGCATCGCTGGCCTAAAGCCTCCTGCATCCTATCTATTTGGTAGCTGTGACTGGCTGCCTTCTTTCCTTTTCTAATTTCGGCTCGCTTAATCCTATTATATCCCATCCTATTTATGCATCGACAGTTCATCCCTTGTCAAAAACCAATGCCTTACATTTTCATTCGGTCCGGTACCCGATGATCCAGGCTTTGTGCCGCTTCCCTAGATTACCATTGCTTTCCTTTGTATTTTATACCTACGATTCACACGATCCCCTGTTTCTTGCAACGTTAAACGCATGGAAGTGGAGTATGTGGCGAGTTCAGGGCTCATTCATCATCTTGGAGCTATTTCATATCACACTCTTTGCATTTTGATCAGTTATGGAGTATCTATAGTTAGCGATAACGGATGGGATAGTTGGAGTTCTAAAAGAAAAATAGAGAGATTCATTTCCGCATTATCTGCAGTTCGTATATTTATCTAACTATGCATTTTACGCCATCTATGGAGTACATATATATTAACTATGCTTATATGCTTATACGAACTAGATGTGTGACTATCCATGAATATTTCGCATCCGAAGCCATGCAGGGTTTCCCCGGAGAAGGACCAGCACAATGAGAAGCTACTTAGACAATGACGGCAAATCGAGCAATGGGTCCCAGCCTTTTACTTCCCGAAAGCATGAACTAGCTCTTTTTAGCCTTTAATCTAAGATCCTTGACCGGGTTCCAGGGCACATCCAGCGATCTTTTGCTGGCATCCTCGCTTAGGGGCGATGTTGGCTGGAGGACTGTTTTCTCCGCATGAGAGCATCGTCGACTTAGCCTGCCAGGATAGAAGATTATTATTATTATTGCGGTATTAATACAGGAATCTTGTCTCACACAATCTGTCAGCTCTGCTGCAGGAACGGAGATGTGCTCATGGGTCCAATCCTTTGCTTCAGGTTGTTATCATATAGCTCGGATGGAGCAGGCAATGCATATGTATTAGGTAACATCGAGGCAATTAGCTGGGCCTAGGGTCCAGGGATCGACGCCCTTTAAACGGCTTTTTTAATTATTATCAAACTCCGTGATGTGATGCGTTCTCCGTTCATGCCACAGTGTTGGATCGGGAGCAGCTTCCGTGCGTCCATCCTCGTCCTAGCTAGCCAACAACCATCCACTCCATCCCGATATAGGCGTCACTGATGATCCTAATCGTCACCTTACCCTTAACCTCATCCATGCTTGAAAACCCAATTTCCCCTGAGAAATGGATCTTTGTTCTTGTAGAAGCATCTCCGTTTAATTTGCCATGGGGACCACCGCCTCGGGCTCCCGAAGTTGGTGGTGAGAGCGAAACACGCTTCAAGGCTAAAAGCTCCTCTCTTTCTTTATTCTGGTCCTTGGCTGTCGTCACGAGAACGAACCATCCTTCGGTTTGTGGCTTAGGAAAATACGGCGCATAGATTTTGTACCCGTCTGTTCCTTGTGAGCGTGACTGTCTCTGGCTGTCTGGTTCCTTTGATTTCCTTCGCAAAACTACTGTTAGGCCGTCAACTGTCAAATCTGCGACTGATACATCAATATTAGGGAGTAAAGGCACGGCCTTCGAGAACTGTGAAGCAATGGGCTGGCCTAGACATAAGGTGTCTAGCATGCGAGATATCGCGTGTTTTGGCATAGCGACCAATTTTGTAAGAGAGGCTGGGAGTTTGCTAGCGTCGATACTGCCATCTGCCACGCTTTCTGGTTCGATTCCAGGCAATATTGACAACGGGTGGTCAGTTGGCCAACGTGCTGATTTGATGCATTGAAGCAGCGTCATCATCATCGCGCAAGCTTTAGGGTAGCCTAACTCTGCAAGAACATCTATACAAGCCTGAATAACACGAATACCTTGGTCGAGGACTGATGTCTGGTCTCCAACGTAATCGGAGATGGGGAGGTCAACACGAGACATAAACGCTTGGATCAAAAGGAATGCCTTGATATGGGGATCCCAAAGCGGCAAATGGTCGCTGATTGCTGTGGTAGGAAGTGGTAAGTTCTTTGCAAGCTCCGCATTCACTAAATCCTCATTATGCCGGACAGGGAGTTCATCAAACTCTGTCGCAGAACACATCCATCCAAGCGCATCGGCAAACGAGGGATCAGGTTTGGCGTGTGTCATCCAGTATCGGACAGTCTTGTGTGAAATGTAGTAGTAACTCATGATCTTGCCATAAGGGGTTGGATCAATGAATCCCGTAGCAGTATCGAATAAAACACAAGAAGATTCGGCGAGCGCACCAAGGGATTTGTCAACCAGTTCAATCATGAACTCAGAAACTATATCTCTAGCTGCAGCGGAATTGTGCTCCTCTGTGGAAATCTCAAGTCCATAGTATGACGGGTTCTTATGAAGCCTTCGGAAAAAGAACGTCCACGTCAAGTAATCTAAAGCGTCTTGCTTGGTAGTTATGGTACCAGAACTGACTTCGGCGCCCAAATGGTCGTCTAAAACTTTGTGCAACGTTGATTCCACGGGAAATCCAGTGTGAAGAAAGTGTTTGTAAAATGCTTTCTTTGCATCCTGAGTAAAAATACGGGCAATACCAGAAGTGTCGAACTGCGGGCGACCTGCACGTCCAAGCATTTGTAGCACATCCGTGAGATCCATGTCCTTGTAGCCCTCGGCTTTTGCGTCGAAAAATTGTGTGCCCTTCACCACAACTAGGTGAGCTGGCAAATTGACACCCCATGCAAGCGTACTTGTTGCAATCAGTATTTGGATCTTGTTGTTGGCAAAAAGCTCTTCAGCCAGCTGTCGATCCGATTCAACAAGACCTGCATGGTGAAGGCCAATTCCGAAGCTCAATGCTTCCTGCAACGCCGCATCTTTGACTCGCGATATATTCAGCTCTAAGTCTTCTTCAGACATATGAACAAATCTTCGAGGGTCATCCTCCATTCCACAGTAGTTGATCAGGTCCTTTGCCGTGAGGCGTGTCTGTCGCCGAGACGCCACAAATACAATCACGGGCTTATCAGGCGAGTGATTCTTGATTGCAAGGAAGGTTGGCCTATTCATCGACTGCATTAGGGGGCAGAACCCCCTCTGCTCTGGAAACCCGTCAATGAATATCTCTAGAGGTACAGGGCGAACGGAATGCCTGAAGTTGTACAGGCCCTTCTTCACTCCCAGCCAGTCTGCAAGGTCTCTGGCATTAGCACACGCAGTAGACATGCCTAGCAATCTAACGGTGCCCTTAGCCTGGGATGCGATGTAGTTCATTCTTGAAACAATAATTTCTAAGATAGGGCCACGTTCGCCTGCAAGAAGGTGAATCTCGTCAATAATGACCAAACCAACCTGACGGACGTATCCTCTAGTTTGCCAGCTTCTGGATATACCGTCCCATTTCTCCGGCGTAGTAATAATTATATCTGCGTTCTTAATAGTTCTTGTGTCGGGGGTATTATCACCCGTCAACTCAACCAGCTTTAAACCCAAGGGGGTGGCAAGGCGATTTCGCCAGTCATGAACACGTTCGCGCACAAGTGCTTTCATGGGAGCAATATACACAACTTTAGATCCTGGCTTGTCCTTGAAGTTCTGCCACATGGCCAACTCTGCAGCAACAGTCTTTCCACTTCCAGTTGGAGATCCCAGCAGGACGTTCATGTCTGTGTGATAGAGTGTATGGAAAAGTTGCGTCTGCATTGGGTTAAAATATTCAAATCTCTTCCCATAAACATGCTCAAGCGAAGGGTTTTTTAGGGCAGATATCGGTAGAGGTTGCAACTCCAAGAGATCAGTATATTCGCTCACTGTATCTGGACGAATAAGATGTTGGAAGGATACCGGAGCAACGGTTTCAGCACCGAGCCACCTATCTGATATCACTCTTACATAAATTTGGGTTGGCAGGGGATCCGCCAGCGGGATAGTAAAGTTCAACTCCTGGCTATCGTTAAGTTTTCTGCGATTTAGGATAAAATATTCATGGTGATATATCTCTGCGGTCTCAGAATTTTCGACCCATATCCAGAACGGTTCGGAGGTTCCATGATGTCGTGAATTCCATTGAAAGTCTGCATAGAGATAGAGGCGAATACGAAGTACATCTCTATTTAGGGGTGATATCTCAACATCGACACTTAGTGTTGGAAAGTTATCAAGAAGCTTTTTTAAAGTGCCTCCCATACGGGTATTATGCACGAGCTGGCCAAGCTCTGCAGTGTCCATTTCCCTCATTGATTCAATCGATGATGCAGGGAACTTTTCGTCGAGGTTCTTTAAGATAGTGGGAGGTAAATCGAATTGATGGAAAGGATGCTGAAATGGCCAAATCTGTTTCTCGATAGATTTGCAAGTGGATAAGAGGACCTGACATTGATACCCCCATCGTCGATTTAACGCAATCATGAAGAGTGACCGACAGATCCTCGCGGAGTTCTGTGCAACATACGATGTATCCGAGACAAGGGCAAAGTCCTCAATTCTAGCTCTGGAGATATAGGACTGAAGAAGGATATTAGTCTTTGCATGTGCAGTATCATTTGCGCCTTCAACTTCAGTTCGCAGGCCTTCCTCGCGGAGCCGATCTAGCTCTTTGAATTCGTTTTCTCTTGACTGGATATTGTCAAATTCTCCGCTCATACTAATCATTTTCATGACATCTGCATCGCTGCCGTTGGGGCTCATCATGGAATTAAAGATTTCCACGCTAGTTTGAAGAACATAATATTGGCTGGCAATCCTACCCACATCCTTCGCACGCAGTTCCTCTGTATTTTCGTTGAATATGATCATCTGGCTCTTTTGGAGCACCCTGGCTGCCTTGATAATAAGATCTCGACGTCGTTGAACAAGTTGGGGGTCATCACGGATTTCATTCCATTCAATACCGTAGGCCGAATGATTCCGTCTCATTCGGACGAACAAGTAAGAGTAACCGAGCCATTGGATACCTTCAGTCACCGAGGTCACAGTCCCTAATGCAATTTCAGCGTTAAGGTTATCCACTAATTTGCGGGAGAATCTGGATTCTATGGGCTCCTGAGAAGTGATCGCAGAGATGTAATGCTGCAACTTATTCTGCGGGGTACAAATGAACCCAATACCAGTATCTTGGAATTGGGGCCGGCCAGCTCGACCAAATATTTGAAGGACATCCAGTATTCCAAGGTCAATGAACTTCCCCTCCTGAGCGCTGTATATCTGGGTGCCCTTGATGATAACAGCGGCAGCTGGCAGGTTTACACCCCAGGCCAGAGTAGCTGTACAGCATAGGACTTTGACAACACCCTGAGAAAAGAGACGCTCCATGAGGTTTCGGTCCGATCTCGACATACCAGCATGATGTGTTCCCATTCCTTTTGGGACTAGGTCCCTCAGTTCTCGAGCACGGGTCCCCTTGAGATCTTTCAATGCCTGCGAATAGTTTTCGTGGTCAAGAGGGGAAAATAAGTCAGAGCACTGTTCCTCCATAGCAAGTTTTGCATAAAGGCGAGCCGTGTTAACTGTGTCCTTTCGAGAATGGACAAACACCATGATCTGATGGCCCGCCTCAAGCATTTCCCTCACTTTGTCGAAAGACACCTTGTCAAGGTTGTCTCTAGATTTCTTGGATCCGGCATCTCCCTTCACTCCTATGAAATGTTGTTCGAGTGGGACTGGGCGGAAAGAGGCATCGAAGAAGAAGAGGCCTGCCATGCGGTTAACCTTGAGAAAATCTGCTACATCAAGATAGTTTGGAAGTGTGGCAGAGAGTCCGACAATCCGGATCAGGGATTGTGTGCTCTCGACTTGGCGTTGAGTTCGGGCAACGAGAGATTCGATGACTGCACCACGCTCATCATGCAACATATGCACTTCGTCAATGATCAAAAGTCGAACTTTATGTACTAGTTCTGTGTCACCGGTACTCTTCCTTGTGACTACATCCCATTTCTCAGGAGTAGTGACGATGATCTGAGTTTGCACGATCTCCTGCTTTGTTAACTGCATATCTCCCGTTAGCTCCCTGACTTGAATTCCAAGCCACGCTAGGCGTTTGCCTAATTTCTCCGTCACTTCAGCTGCGAGAGCCTTCATTGGAGCAACATAAACAATTTTAAAATCGTCAACTTGCACCACAAAGTCGGTCGAATCAGGCTCCTCTAGCGGGTTAGGAGTGGTGTGCCGAGCTATGGCATTGAGAATAGTAAGCATGGCAGCATCCGTTTTACCAGCTCCTGTCGGTGCACATATGAGCATGTTTTCGTTAGTTTTGTACGCGACAGAATATAGCAAACTCTGCATGCGGTTTAAAGTCTTGTATCCGGGAAATGTGCCTCTACAGAGAGTATCCATCTCTGATATTGGGATCAACCGGTGACCAGCTCCTAGAGTTCCAACCTTTGAAGCGGGTATGGCATATTCGGTGTACAAGGGTTCCTCTCTGTGGATAGTCCCAGCGGGTAATCCGTATTTCCGGCCATTTACAGATAATGTGTTCCCGGCCTGGTAAGACTTGTAAACGTGAGGGTAATGAGGGCCATCCCGATCCTGTCTAGGGGCAAGTTGAGCGTGTTTGTGCTCATAATCCTGACGGCGGAGGGCCTCTTCTCGCTCCGCCCTAGTTTGTAATCGTCCTATAGATGCTGTGGGCGCATCTGGTACAGAAGGCCCAGCGAGAATGGATTGGCGGTTAGATAGCAGTTCGATAACAAAATCCAGTTCATCGAAACCAACTATCTCTGCCAAAGCGATCTGCAGTTCGTCTGACGACGCATCGGAGGCGAGAAGAGCTTCCAGTTGATGTTGTAAACCAGATGCACTTAACCCTCCCCTAAGCCTGGCAATGGGCTCACACTTTTTTGCAAGCCAACGGCGGTCGTATTCTTGCTTCTGTTCATGGTCAGACACGACGGGTAGGGCGACACCATTGATATCGTCAAACTCGTCGCTTTCACCACTATCACTGATCATGTCCCAGATATCGTCAACCGACTCAGGCTGTGAGGAAAAGTCATCATCACTTAGGTTCAAGTCCGACCCATAGAGGACGGGTTCTGAGTTGTTCGGTAGATTCAGCTTCTCTATCTCCCGCCGCATGGCCGTCAACTGGTCGAGCCATTGCGTCTCCGCTAGAGTGACAGACATAATCACAGCAAATGCCGACAATGCACTGTTTTATTATTCGGTATACAGGAAAAAAATGACAAAAGGGCTGTCTTCGAAGACGAGAGGGATGTAAATAATGTAAAGCGGGAGAAGCGTCGATGAGTCAAGACGACGAATCTAACAAGCGGCTCCGCCTTTAGTAATATCACGTGATACGTTAGTTAAGCTCGGCTAGTTTAAGTCAACCGCGATGAACTACACTTGGATGTTAGCTCCTTATGAAAATATCAGGTTCACTGCACAGTTACGGGGTGCTTGATGCTACGATAGCCTCGATATTCCATTGCTGAAACATTTAACTATGCACGGAGTAGTCCACTCTCGTATTAGCAACTTGACCAAACACTACAGGGTACCTTTCCCTCTTATACCGAAGGCAAATACCAAGATGTGGCTCCATTTTGTTTGCAAGGCATGTTGCGGGCCCACAAGACCGACGGCCAGGGCGGGTACCCACGCTCATTGCTGTCTTCTCGTACGGCGTGTGGCTAAAAGGACGATGAATATGCTTTGCGAGCAAGCGGTTATAGGAATGCCACAGCGCTGGGGAATGACTTTGGGGTTCATCCAAAGAGGGGCGACCAACCTGTACACCTGAGGCCTAATCCGCTTATTACAGCCGGATTCATCTACATATATCAGTTGACATATACCGAAGTCAGAGAGACTAACTCCGCTAATACTGCGGATCGTGATATGTACTACTTGGAATTTATCCCAGTGGAAAATCACCATCTCGTCTAGGTATGAATTAGGCTCTTCAAGCAAATGTCACAAACGGCCTCTGGTATAGACGGTGTAATACATCGTCGCCGGCTAATGTGATTTTGGTGGTGCCCTAGGGCTACTAAATAGCTGCATGTTCGAGTGTATGGTCTTGATCGTCGGCACTTCTGCGGACGATAGTGTGATGTTCTGTATTTCCGCGGCGCAGTAGTGCCATTTTAGGAAGAAAGCTCCAATACAATCGTATCTGAGATCTGCTCTCCGCATGGACTGGAAAATGCTCTTACGATATCCCTCTCATCCCCTTGCGACCTTTCCCCTCTCTTTTCCGTGACTTACATTAGTATACTGTGCTAAATATACCAAGAGGTGCCCCTGTACATGCTTTCAGCCAGGACCGTTGACGGTTAAGCCCAGGGGCCTGATACATAACTCCGAAATGAAAACTTAAGCTAAAAGTTAAACCGCCGGTAAATTAAACTGTTAAATATAGCAATTAACCCCAAATACATATTCAAATGCAAGAGGCGGAAACGGCGTTAACTTGGTAGGTTCCGTGGTTTTGTTCTTCTATAATGTCTAATGCCTGGTATTCTCTTCTACAGTACATACTATGTAGGTATTACTCATGAATAACTCAAAGAGGGAGAAACCTCCTCCGTTAGACGCGCCAAGGTGGATGATGCACGTCACCAAGTGCATGACGCAAAGGTGATTCATGCTTGATATATAAAGCCACTTTCCCGCCCACTCCGTTCAATCAAAAACACATCACTGCTCTACGTCTTTTCTACGTTCAAGTTTAAAGCTTCTACTTCGAAAAGTCACCATGGACGAAGTTCAGCAAATAGCCCAGACGTATAAGGTGGCCGATATACGCACCCGGAAGTCCCTCTGGTATCGGCTACATGTATATGTCTACGACCTTCGCAACTTCAGGACGGACAGCGCCGCAAGAGATCGGCTCGATAGTATCGTGGATATCACCTACCTAGGCAAACCGTATTTCAACGAAGAAGAAGTCGAAATCCTTAAAAACAGTATCTCTAATAGCAGCGGGAGCGAGACTCTTGCCCAGAAAATTGAATCTACCCTAGATGAACGATTGAATCGCCGCATTAAAAAGCGCGTGGAGAGCAGCGACTTCAGGGTCTGCGCCGCTCACGACCTAGCACCTATATTTGAAGCTGTTTTTGATATACACCCGAAGAAGCTGGCTAAGAACTTTGTTCTCGTATCGCTGATTAGTTCGAGAGGGCTGAGGCTTCGAGACGAGGACGACATTTCGTGCATTCTGGGACAAACTAAGCTACAAGTTCTTGCGGCGAAACACGGAACAGGCAGCAAGAAGAAGGGAGGCAGGTAGTTACTCTTGCTACATGCTTCTAAGTCAAGAGAGACGAACTCAATTGCTTGACCTTACGTCGAATAGTAAAGGGAGCCACATTCCAAGCCAGCCTCAAAAATCTCCTCACTAAGAAACAGGAACGCGGTCAGTCAGACGAAATCCGTGCGTCTCACGATCTGGCGCCGCTAGTTGAAAAGGCTTTCGGTATTCGATGGGCTTTAGTGCGGAAGATGAAAAACCTGAAAGTCAGACCTGCGAATGCGAAGCCGCCCAAGCAACGATCGAGGAGGATGGTACTCTACGGATGGGTACACTACGAAGGATGCTGAGCCGCGCTCGACTAGAATAGTCGTTTTGACATAGCATTTGTTGATTGCATTCGATATCATTCATGTACTTGGGACTATAGCAGTCTAAATACCTTTCGTATATAGATACGCCTGTATCTATAAGGTTAATAACTACTATGTATAGTAGAAAACCCCTATTAGATAGTTACATCCTAACTCTATAGTAATGAAATAACTCTCTATCCAAAACCTCTCCGAGGCCACCACTCTCACATACTATGTAATGGAGTATTCCCGTTTTATTACTATGTAAGGGTACCATGCCAGTATCTCCCAGGGGCCCTGGCTCCTGTTAATTTCCCGTGACGACTGAACCAAGTCAACGGGCCGACCTGGGTAGATGCCTGTCCGCATATATAACTATAGTCCGACCACCACCGTTGTTGGAGATAACAACGTGAAATGCCGTCCTCCATACGTATAGCCCTCGAACGACGAAATGTGGCTACAGAGCACCGCCCAGAGCTGCAAGCGAAATTTATGGGGCTATTCGACCTGCTCGTAAAGCAGAAGCCCACTCGATCTTGGATTTGCAGAAAGATGGTTTATCCAGGGGATCGACAGGCCCTCGGGGCACGCCTTGAGGCTTCCGCCCTTTCTCCCATCAAGATATGCCTGTACCCACACGAGGCATTTTTAGCCCTCATGGCCGATGGCGCGAGGATCATTCCTTGGGCGCTTCAGAAAGAAAAGCAATACGGGCTTGCTCGTGTCTGGCAGCCAGCCAACATTGTAGATGAGCTGCCCCCCTGCAGGCGCACAGCAACACCACCAGCAGGCCGTGGACCGACTGATCCTGACGCCTTACCGTTTACCCCTGCTCTCCATCTTCGGGGCAGTCCCGGGGCCCCTTTTTCCCCCCCCGGTTACTTCTGGCATCGCTGGCCGTCACTGGTTCGCCTCGTATGAACAACCAGCCCCAAGGCTCCGAGGGTGGCATCCATCACGCTGTGCATCGGCTGAGCTCTCATCCTGCTGGTAGCTGCGCGTTGTTGGATCCAGCAAAACAGAAAATAGTAATCCGGCGAGTTTCCAATAACAGAGCCTCAACTTACATACATGCTGAATCGGCACTTGGGGTAGCTGATCTGAACCGGCCGTACGATGTACTCCGTATTCCCACAACACTTGTCGACCCTCGATCTCCTATGTAGACGGGAGCTAAGAGTGCACTCTGATCGTGCCGAGTCAAGACTGTTGTATGCTTGTACAACGATGGAACAGTTAATGCGGTTTCGGCCAAGGTGAGTCTTTTTCTCATGCGTACTACATAGTATGTACTATGTATGCCTGGGGCCTCCGTCGTGATAGACATGTACAACCGCCTCCCACGTCTACCGAACTCCGTATCCATGAGCCCATGACGGTCTCCACGTGGGTGGGAACCGACGCACCAGGCTTGAAGGAATTGAGATTGAAACACCAGGTTGTAGCTTGGCCGGCCTGGGGAGCTCCACCACCACATTGGCCGAGTTTACCACCCAGTACGGAGTACGATCCAAACCTCTCCTTTTGCCTGCTTTGATGAGAGACACTGCTCCATAGGGTGCCATCTTGTCTGTTCTTGGTTGTTCTTAGTTCTCGGTCTCCCTCGGCTGCTCTGGAAACATGACTGCGAGCCGGCGTCTTAGGTATGGCTTCCAAGAGAGCAAGAATGTTATTGGTATGGAACAAGTGGATACGGTGGCTATATATATATATATACTATATATATATACATACATACATAGTGTATATACGGAGTACTCCGTACTTCGCTCTCATTGGATTTTACATATATGAGCACTCATCCTGCCCTTCAGCAACTGCTTTGTGGAACATATTTACACCCGTTCCTTTGAGGATAATAAGTATCCGGTCTTTATCCAGTACACAAACAGACACACGAACGGGTCAAAAAGGGTCATTGAATAGAAGAAAGGTCTGGAGGTTTACACAGCATAAAAAAAAGATGAAGTTCGGCTCAACACTCGTGGCCGCGATCGCTGCTGTAGCGGGAGCCGCTGCAAAAGACTACGGCGGAGTGCCAGGCCAACCCATCCAAAAGAGCGGAAAGGGAGCTGTCATCTCTGGTACATACATCGCATTTATCCCATAATAGATAATAACCGCGTTGTCACTAACATGAAGTTATCAGGTGGCACCAACCCCCAGCTTGATCTCCAGAACCCAAGCAACATTAATGGCCAGCCCACCAGTGACAACGGTCTTGTTCAAAACCTCAAATGGAGCTTCTCGCTCTCCAAGACCCGTATGTTCTATGGCGGCTGGATTCGTGAGCAGGTTATCCAGGATCTGCCTGCCAGCCACGATATTGCAGGCGCCCAAGTCCACCTAACTAAAGGCGGAATCCGACAGATGCATTGGCACAGAGTTGTATGTTCGCAAGCCTTCTCGATTGATACCCTGTGAACTATTTTTTATTAATATATAAATTCGATTATAGGCTGAATGGGGTTACGTCTACGCTGGCGCCATCTTGGTATTTGCTGTCTCTGAGGATGGGCGGTACCAGATCGACAAGCTCACCCCCGGTGATATTTACTACTTCCCCAAGGGAGCTGCGCACTCTTTCCAAGGTTAGTCTCTGATCGATCCCATTTCCCCGATGAACGGCCCATAGTTACCCATGTCAATAGGTCTTGAGGATGAGAACGAGGTTCTCGTCGCCTTCGATGACGGTGACTTCGACCGCCACGGGTATGTATTCCCTTATTACTCAAACCTATCTTCTTCGACGTTATTTAACACCTGTATAGAACCACTTTCCAGATTGCCGACTGGGTCTCCCACACCCCTAAGGAGGTATTGGCTAAGAATTTCAATATCCCAATCGGCACCTTCGATAAGACCGATAAACATGATTTTGATATTCTTAATTCTACCACTACCACCCGCAACGTTACTGGCCCCAATGGCCCTCTTATGGGCAATAGCTCTTATACCTTCCATATTCACAATGCTCTAGAAGTTCCAATCCCTGGGGGCGGCGGCACTATCCAAATAGTTGACTCCAAGAACTTTCCTATCTCCAAGACCATCGCCTGTGCCGTTGTCCGTCTCAAGCCTGGTGCCTTACGCGAGCTTCACTGGCATCCAACCGTATGTACTTGAAACCTGTTTATCTTGGTTGATCGTATCTAACTATATATCCTTTTAGGCTGAGGAATGGCTCTACTTCCATAGCGGAAAGGCCCGCGCCACTGTCTACATTGGTGGCGGCCTATCCCGTACCTTCGACTTTACCGCCGGGGATACCGGTGTCTTCCCAGATAACTCTGGTCATTACATCGAGAACATCTCTAAGGATGAAGAACTCGTCTACCTTGAACTCTACAAGGCCGACCGAGTTGCCGATGTCTCCCTCTCCCAATGGCTCGCCCTTACTCCACACGACATTGCTGCCGCCGCTATTAATGTTCCGATCGAGGTCATTGACCAGATAAAGAAGGAGAAACAATTTATTATCGCGTAAAGACGGGGATATACGACGGTGCAGGCACCTTACCCAGCTGTTATTGAGCCACTTAATATTTCTTTTAATACTGATATAGAGGCGTCCGGCTGATTAGAGGGTATACAGAGTAAAATGAAAGACGTTCCGTGACCAAAGCAATATATTTCCGCCTACCTGATCATATGTCTCTCTCCTCTCTAACTCAGGGTTACTCTAGGGTCTTTAGGCTGACAGATGCTATAAAGCTTGTGGTTGCATTTAATACTCTTTCCGTTCCAGAATCGTTCTGTTGAAGAACGAGGGGGAGAGGAAGCCGTTGGTTATCTGGTCATGCCCCTTGTGCATTGCTTAACCTGCTCCGTACTTGACGAGTGATGTTGCCCTTGAATATACATAGTAAGGCTCGCTATCCGGCTCTGGTGTGGATCTTGCGGAACGCCCGGCGGCTCCTTTCCTTTAGTTAAATTTAAGCGCGTAGGGCGAGACGCATAACTACCAGGATACTTGACATAAATATTTTACTTCCCTTTACATAGTAACTATCGATGGATTACTGAAAAGGAGGAAAAGATTCTATCCTAGCCGGGCTCTGTAACTGGTCGGGAGCTGCTTATCAGAGGGTCTAATGGACTCTGATGGATAGCTTGGATGAGTGATCCCAAGGGCCATTTTCCTCCGAGGGGGAATAACGTTAACTAATGCTCTGGTATCAGGATTTACGCAGCATGCTGAGCGTCTCCAGCTCCATCATCACTGTTTTCAGCACCCTTACCGCGAGATGTAACAACGACCATGAATACGGCAGAGTGGAATAACTTTGTCACTCTTGATTTTAAGACTGATGGCCCTGGTAATCGCCCTGGCCACTCTACCGACTAGTGTCATATTTCGGAGTTATGTCAAAGCGACCAAAATGGCCTAGACCGACGCAGCTGGGCTGGCGATACCGAGATAATTAACACTAGCTTCCGAGTGGGCTTCTCGAGGTATACTACGTACGACGGCATACTACGACGCAGCTGGAGGATATCTATCGTCGATGACAGGATGGATCTTGACGAGCTCTTCGTCTCATGTCTTTCTTCAGCATGCTCAGCAGCAACACGTTTAATGTCCTATGCAATATCCATGACCATAGTGAATTGATGTCCAGTCACGAACACGGCCGGTTAGCGACAACCAACCTCCACCACGCTAACTACTATGTAAGGCGTATCGAGTCACGTACTCTTGCAGCCGTGTGCTTCACCACTCTGCCGGTTAGGTAATATTACATGTATGTGGTGCATCTGTGTGTGCGCAAGGGACGGAGGATGCATATCCAACTAGTAAACACCGCCGTGTTTAAGTGTTGGAGACGCAAGCTGGGCTAACATAAAGAAACGGATTAAACATAGAAGTCGAGAGATAAAGAAGGCTTTTGCATCAAAGGCTCTACGATGTCTGCTATGTATGTACAACTCCACAACATACTATGTATATAAACAGCCCCTTGGTCCGTTGCAAAGGATAACGGGGACATCGCTATCCTTAACCCCTTACGCTGTAGCGTTTTTCTTCCCCCCATGTTTAGTTAGCGTTTGCATGCCCGCAGCTCGTATTAACCCATCGTCCCCCAGGCTTTTGACAGGCGGCGGCCATGCCATCTTCTCATGTATGGAAAAGGCTTCTCCTTTTTGCTTCTCGTTCGATCGCTTTTCTCCTCCATGGCCTTCCACTCGTTCTCATCAGCTTCCATCTTGTATAGGTCGCATCTACCAAGCCGCCGTGCTGGCAAGGACTCGCCGCCATGTCCAGCATCATATCCCAGCCGCAGATGGATGTCCGGTCCGTAGGCAGTTGTGTCGCCGCAGGTAGTCCCCCGCTCTCTCTCTATGTCTTTATAAATGGCCGACTAATACGACCCTAGTTGTCGCGGCATACCATGATGCAGCGAAGCTGGTCAAGCGCATCCAGTCGACAGCCGCTACTACTACTACTGATACGACGACGACGACGACATCAGCTGCGTCTACGGCGGAAGAGAGCAATACTGCTCTGGCTGATCTAGGGGATTCCCTCATGCTAGGCCCTCCCATCGTACAGGGCCAGTATGAGGAAAACCTGATGAGACTGGGCAATGCCTACGCCAACGGTGACCAGAATGCGCGCGAAGCACTCAAGGATGTAGTTATCAACCTGCAGCTGACTCTCCTGGCGACCCTGCGCATGGCGCTGCTTGACAACCTAGACTTGGATTTCGATGCCCTGCAGCGGGCGTCCGACGAGAGCAGGGTGAATGCGCTGGTCTGCCTCTTCCAACTCGGCCAGCGTCTCAGCTTAGGCAGCCCTTCTATACATCCAAAGATGCCGCCATCAAACCGACAGACGGTGGTCCTCGGTGATCCAGGAGGTGGAAGTAGCAACAGCCACATCAACGGCAAAAACAACAGTCAATTCGCCATCCCCGTGGACGCAAAGATGGCCCCTCCTATCCCTCCCATGTCTCCGTCTCGGGTGGCCTCGAACTCGGCATCCTCTGGCGACAGAGTCTCGCGAGACAGCAGCTACATGCACCACCGTCCACCTAGCAGCGTCAACCCCGTCTCACCACCTCTGAACCCACAGCAGCCTGGCCATAATCCGGGTAGTAAACCTCTCTATAGTCCCAGCCACGGGGTCAACAAGACACCCCCCGCTCGACTGGCCGAGTTGCAAGGGTCTCAGCCCATGATAAGGGAGGAATCGAACAAGTCTCCTAGCATATACAGTGTGCTCTCGTCCAACAACTCGAGCACCAGGGGCGTCGACTATGCAGACCGTTCAAAATCAAATCCTAGCAGCGGTGACCCCCATATAGAACCAGACCAAAGCGCCGTCGAGCTGAGTGCCGGTCGCTTCTCT